ACTTGGTAGTCCAAGGTACCGACTTGTAGCTTCGATCCCACTCTGTTATCGCTCTCTGCCCCTGTCATGTCACCACCCGTTTTCGCCTTCATCTTCATAGATTAACCAATTCAAGTAGTCATTTCAGATTACAGTTTGCTTCAAGAGGGGTAAGAACAGAGAGACAGACACACCAAGAGGGAGAGATGAGGGGCTAGACACCTGTTGCTTTCGGAGATCTCGAAGTCAAAGATGAATCTGGAGCGATGGAAGAAGGAAATCTACGAAATCTACGAAGCAACTACTCGATGCAGTCCTAAAAGAACGGACCCGCTCCATCTACTGCCCGCTTTAGTTTTGCCCCTCCCTGGCTGGCAGTGGGTGAATGAACGAGCGAAAGAGAGACAGCCATTGCGGAACGAGACGAACGAGACCGTACTCCGTACCGAATTTTCCTTGCCTGGGCGGCGGCGGCTTCGTTCTTCGACTTCTTCTTCTTCTGCCTTTGCCTGCCTAGACTACCTGCTTGCTGCAAGTTGCAACAACGTCCGAGCTCCTCCTCCCTTATCAATATCATTCCTGAATTATGTCGAGCTTTTCTGATTAGGAACATCTTTTGCTAGGGTGGGTGGGACATTTATTTTCTTGAAATAATAAATATTAAAATATTATTTTTATTTTCCTTATTTTTGACTCTCCAGATATTTTAATTTATTTTCGGACATGTAATTAAATCCTCTGTTTTCAACGTTCTCTCTGTCTCTCTGAGTCTTCTTATTATTCTTAATCTTCTTCTACTATCTTCTCTTTATACCGACCGTCAACTGCGGCTCACTCCATTTCCCACTCCGCCCTGGGCCTGTCATCTTTCATATACTCACTCCATTTTCCCACTTCCTTCCCATCCTTCTCCGACAAGCCCGCCTTCGAATCCTGGTCCTCCCTCCCCCTCCCTCCCTTCCTCCCCTCCATCCCGATTCACTTCTTTGTATCTACTTCAATTCCGGTTCGCCTTCAACCAAACCAGCCAACCAAACCCGAATTCCGTTCTTCTTATTCTGCTTCTTTTCTTCTTCTCCTCTGGCATCCTCCTCCTCTTTTCAAACCCACGTTCTCACTTCCAATCAATTATATCCCTGGCGGTTTCTGTCCTGTTTCAACGTCAATCTCGTTAAATGTCGCAATCAAACTGATGTCGCATCTCCAAGGTAAGTACTTTGACAGAACCGAATATCCAGCCTCCTCCTCCTCCTCCGCCCGCGTCGCCTCCCACTTCCAATACTTCCAATGGCAACCTCTTTCCTCTCTCCCTCCTCCCTCACGCAATTCGAGAATTCCAGATGTATTCCCGGTGATTTGTTTGGTCGCAATCGCTTCGTTCTCAATTCGTACCACTGTCTGGGATCCTGTTATGTGTCGTAACACCTTGTTTGCTGCATTTGCCCTCCGCACCAAGCCTTTGCCTCCAACGCTCCTTCTACTTATCGGCACCCACTGGAACGTCGCGAGTCACACCACTCTTCCTCCACTTTTCGCTGCACGCCCAGCTCTGTCATCAACTCACTCAACTATCTTTCCCTCCCACTTATTACCCTCGCCCTGACGCGGGTCGAAGCTTCTGTCCCTCATGCTCCACTGTCTCACGCTGCGTTTCCAACCTTGATGCTCGGAACTGACTGGAAGATAAGACCACTTTCAAAGACGCCATATCCCCGGACCTCTTGTCTCTTGATCAAAGACCGGCGTTCTTTCCCTCGCACCTCACCTCGCTTCTGGAGGTTTCTCACTAATTCATTATCCACCCCCCTTTCTGTGTTGCATCACACAAGGTCGGCCGGATGCCCTACACTGCGCCGTTGAAGACGTCGCCGTCCGCGCAGCACATTGAACACTCTCCACTCACCTCCAATTCCTGTCCCAACTCGCCCACCGTGGTCTCCTCACACCCTCCCCGTCCACACCTACCTCGCTCCTACTCCTCGACGTCTTATGTACGGCGGCATAGGAGGAGCCCTTCCAATAGCAAAGCCTTCGTCTTCCCTGAGCCAGATCACCCGTCAAAGCCAGGCCATGTCAGCTACTCCCAGTCGAGTATTCGAAAGTCTCCTCCTCCCCTGAGTGACGCGGTCATTCCTCCAGGGGCCCTGATCTCTCCTCCTGATTCTGCTCCTAACTCCAGTGATGAAGAGACATCATATCGACCGCAGGGCGAGCTGCAGCTGGAAAAACTAGAGGCAGCCGTGAGGTCGATCGAGCAAAGAAGGATGTCCTCACCGGAGAGACCGGTAGATCAAGACACGTCGTCTTCAAGCATGGCTGCTTCCACCGCCGACGCCCTGAAACATATGCGGCCGCCTCTTTCTCGAGAAGCTCGCAAGATCTCTCATTCACGTTCAGCTACCGAGTCCTTAGTTGACCACAAGCAAGATGAAGTCTTAACTACCTCACCGGAAGAAAGTGATCGGGACGATGAACCCCGTGTGAAGCACCCAATGGTACGCAAGAAGTCAGGAGAGCTCGTTCGGCCTGCTCTTCGTCCAGCTTCGGCTCGACGGCGTCCGTCCAGTATGCCAGGAACGCCGACATTTTCCAAGGCTGTGCATTTCGATGCCCAATTGGAACATATCCGGCACTTCCTGCAGCTGGACAAACCCCAGGCTGTCAGTGCCGACACATCTCCTGTCGACGACTATGATGCTGCCGGGGAGTTTCCTTTCCGCCACACACCTCATGACAGCACTTCGGAATGGGAGATCACGCTCAACAACTTCCCTGCTGATGTCTCCTCCCGCGCCCATCAGCGTGTCCGCCTGGAACGTCTATATCTTTCTCCTGACAAACATACCCTGATCGGTGTTGTGGCTGTTGCTAATTTGGCCTTTCACAAACATGTTGCGGCTCGTTTCACCTTGGATCATTGGAAAACGGTATCCGAGGTAACAGCAGAATACAACGACCAATCCCGACAGGAGCATGCCCACGATGCTTATGACAGGTTCTCATTCAATATTAAGTTGAATGATCAGACCAACCTTGAAAAGAAGACAATGTTTGTGTGCATACGCTACAATGTCGAAGGCCAAGAGTATTGGGACAACAACCATCACAAGAACTTTCAAGTCAATTTCACGAAGATCACCAAGCCTAAGGTCGGGCAGACGAACCCGCAGCCCACGAAGCCTCGCACCGCGTTGCCTCGCAGTAGGAGCTTTGTGGTGTCCACCAGTCGTCCCCATTCAATGCCCCCGTCGTTTGACAACTTTTCCGACATGGATAAGTATGTATCTTTCGGCAACTCACCCAAGGCCACCAAGGAGAGTCAATTGTGTGACGATGAGCCGCACGATGTTGAGGTCGCTGCTCCCATTCGTCGTGATAAGCAGAACCACCAGGTTTTTGGCAACCGCTATGACTTTGAGGCATCATTGACGGCGGCTATGAAGACCAAACCGACGCATGACCGAACAACCTTGGCCGCCCGCGCCAAATCCAATCCCTCGCCACATGGTCATCATCAGCACACTTCAGAGAAGCGAATGAGTTCTCGTGATAACATCTCCAGCCATGCAAACGGCAATGGCCATCAAACAAGTTCTGTGTCCAGCCACAAACCTTCCACCCTAGTATCGAGCAAACCACATCGCGAGTCCTCAGTATATAAGGAGCTGGTGGATAAGTATTGTTTCTTCGGCTCCCCTAACTTCTCAACGGACGGGAACGATTCCACGGCCGTTAAGGATCTTGCAAGCCGAACGAGCTCCAGCAGCAGTTCCAGCGCAGGTTCCCCCTGCTCTTCCCCTCACATCGAGGCCTCATATGGTGCCGATTCACGAACTTCCTCTCCTAATCACATCGGATTCCCCTACCTCCAGAACAACTTCCTCAAAGAATCCAACACGCCAGCAATTATCCAAGGATGAACCAAGAACCCTCATCCTCCCGAAACCGTCCTCCTCCTCCATTGAATGTCGATACATATCTCAGACTTTGTATCCGGACGATACGATGCTTGTATGGATGGGCAGGCATCGCCCTGTTACATGTGAATTCTTCCATCTTCGGTGCGATCATTCCGACGGCGTCAATCTACTTTTCCGCAACCAGATGCGTGCCACAGACACATTTGCAAAGCTGTTTGGCAAAATTTCAGCGCGAGCAGTCAGGGTTCAGCCGCCCATTGGCTCTCGGTATATTTCTCGGATATGCGGTCTAGGGCATCAAGCTCAGGGTTCTCTGCGATGTGTAATAAACCGCGAGGATCCGGGATGATGCCGGACAAGTTATCCTGTTTATTACTTTACATTTAACCAAGTAGTGGTCCACTACGATGACGATTACGACCTGATGGCTTTTATCGTTTCTCCTCGACTGTCCAAACTTTGTTCGGATGATTTTGTTGTTGTTGATTACCTGTATGTCCGTGAGATTCAGAAGGCGTTTGTTTCCAAAAGTCGATCTGCATCGGCCTTATCTGCTTCTTCGTGTCCAGCATTTTGTTCCTCCTGCCTCTTCCAGCGTTCATACATGTTCTATTGTGGGTGGGGCCGGCAAAGATGGCTTGTCGTTATTTAATGTGTCATTTGATGAGAGGAGTTTTTGGGATGTCCGGATGCAGTCTGAAGCCTGACTGGGTGAATCACAGAACATCTTCACTTTCCACGTGAGCTTTCCGAGTAGATGTAGATGTCGAAGTAGTGTACAACTTACAGTATTTGCATGCCGTAGCTAGGCCAGTTTTCGATGAATATAGGATAGCGTTAGATCTGTGAGCTTCTCTCCCTTTCTTCACTGTACATCGCGACTGGTTCGATATCCAAGCTGCTTCCAAGTACAAGCAACCTTGAAGTCAATGGGTGTTTGGTCCAGGCCTCCAGGCCTCCAGGCCCAGAGTTGGGGAAGAGGGGCGGTGAGCACGTGACCGGCGTACCCGCAGCGGGAAGGCGGCTCCAGGCGGACGCGTTGGCAGCCAGCCATACCTACAGTACCGTACATACTCCGTAGACTACCTTACTGTACCTTACCTTTCCCTTTCCCTTTCCCAGGGCTCCCCTTTCACCCGTCTCCAAAGCGGCCGTTCATAACGCCCTTTTTTTCAGCCGTTGCCCACCAATCAGCCGTTTCCATTCCATTTTGACCCTTCCAGATCACCCTTTGACGCTTAGTCACTCCAAATCACGCTCTCGCTCGCCGCCCACTCCGCAAACCTATTTAAACCGTCTTTCGTCTCCTTTTCCCCTCTCTTACAACCTCTGATTTTCTCTGGCCCGCTACGCGTCACGTCGACCATCCATCTATCTTCCACCCCGCGTTTTATCAATTTTCTTCGCTCATCCATCTCGACTTTTAAGCACATTTTGCCAAGATGACTGGACGTAAGTAATTATTTTTTTCTTTCTTTCCCTTTCGGTTTTATGTTACGTGGTTTGCCCGTCTGCTGTGGCTGGATGAGGCTGCTGCTTCGCAGCATCGTGTCTCCGACGGCACGTGATCGGAGCCCTGCCTGGCTCTCCGTCCCTCACTCAATTCGCCACACCATCTCAAGCCTCAGCTCTCTTATCTTTCCTATCGAATACTAATCGCTCTTCATTCACAGGTGGCAAAGGAGGAAAGGGTCTCGGCAAGGGTGGTGCCAAGCGTCACCGTAAGATCTTGCGTGACAACATCCAGGGTATCACCAAGCCCGCCATCCGCCGTCTCGCCCGCCGTGGTGGTGTCAAGCGTATCTCCGCCATGATCTACGAGGAGACCCGCGGTGTTCTCAAGTCTTTCCTCGAGTCGGTCATCCGTGATGCCGTCACCTACACTGAACACGCCAAGCGCAAGACCGTCACCTCGCTGGACGTTGTGTACGCCCTCAAGCGCCAGGGCCGTACCCTCTACGGTTTCGGTGGTTAAACGCCATCTGTTCTCTTTCGATTTCGCTACCGTCATATCATCTCGTCCGTTCAACTTGTCCTCCATCGCTTGCCCATCAATTGGCTCGCCAACACGACGTATCCTTTTTTTTTTCTGTCGCCATGCGCCAGTCTTCGGAGTACAGCCGGAATGAACATGGGGGTGGGTTCACGAAATGGATGGATGGATAAGATACGACGATAACGAGACAACAAATCTGTCTTCGGTCTTCTTTTGCTTGGGATACTATTCGCTTTGTGCAATGGGTTACGGGGTTTCAGGGTCTGGTCGGGCATTGGTCGTTAATATCATCTGTTTCTAGTTTCTCTCCTTTTGTTTTCTATCAGGACTGTGGATTATGGCCTGCGAGGTCTTTTTTATGAGTTGCAGCACCCGCAGTGGTCGATCTCGTTATCTGCATGTAGATCGGTCGCGTCAATCATTCTTTGGGTGGATAGATGAATGAAGAACTTCCTATCAGCCTGTCACATTTCCCTCTTGATCGCAGATTAAAGGACGTCAGCCTAATTGGCGGGATGTCGGTCATTCCACTGCGTAAATTTGACTCTCTGTGATCTCACGGTGCTTTAGCAGAGTTATGGTCGGACAGGATCACATGCTCCAGAGTGAGTTGCACAGACCCGCCCCGTTGCGATGATGTAATGGGGCCCGGCCCCTCCTCCCGTCCTCTTCCCGCTCTCCCTTTCGGGTCAATCAACCTCGGTCATCAATCACACCATGCCGTCGGATGGATAAGCTCCTTACTTACGAGAACAAGGTGGAACGATGCACCGTCGAGTGATACTCTTCTACCTTATCTCCTGATTTCCCCAATCATCAAGTATTTTTAAAGAAGACTGTTTTGCTTGCCATTCATCACCACAACGCAGACATACTAGAACAACAAGAACCCCCAAACAGACAGACAGCCCATGGTGCTGACGCGGACGAACTCTCCCCAAAGCTAATTGACCAATCCAGCTCAAAGGCATACAGCGTGATGAAAAATGCCAGAATACAAGATGTCCTATGAGGCGGAGCTGGTACGTTACCTCCTCTACTTGTGTGAGGCCTCCGTTTCCACTTGGGAAATAGTGTCTCCATAGTACCAGATAGTGAACACTAAGCGGCCTTCACGCGTCTAGGACTCCTACCAACTCTACCACCGCTACGAACAGCCTCGCCCTCAACCCCAGGACCAAGACTGGAAACAGGCGGCGCTGCGGGGCCCGGCGCTGCCGGCGCTGGGCAACGCCCTGGCCGGCGCCATCGGCGCGGCCCTGAGCAATGTGGCGACGTATCCGTTGAGTCTGATCGTCGCGCGGTTGCAGACGCAGCAGACGAGAAGCTCTAAATCAAATGAAGATGGCAAGGCGAAGTTACGGGAGCCAGATGGTGGAGAGGATGATGGCTACGCGGGCGTCCTTGACGCGGCCCGCAAGATCTACGCGCAGGAGGGCGGGGTAGGGAGCTTCTATACGGGTCTCGCGCAGGATACCGCCAAATCGGTGTTCGACTCGTTTCTGTTCTTCCTGGCGTATGAGATCCTGCGGCAGCGGCGGCTTCGGGCTCGATTCGGTGGTGGTGGTGGCGGCGCACGGAGGACGAGGACGGTATTGCCCGTGTTGGATGAGTTGGTGATTGGGGTGGTTGCGGGGGCGTTTGCGAAGCTGTTCACGACACCGTTGGCGAATATCGTGGCGAGGAAGCAGACTGGGGGTAGGAAAGGGTTGGTGGGAAGCAGCAGTACGAGGGAGATTGCGGCGCGGATTCGCGCGGAGAAGGGTTGGCGGGGGTTCTGGTCGGGGTATTCGGCTTCGCTGATCTTGACGCTCAACCCGTCCCTGACCTTCTTCCTGAATGAGGTGCTGAAATATGCACTGCTGGCGCGACAGCGGCGGCGGGATCCGTCACAAAAACAACGGCCGCTCACGCCGGCGGTCACTTTCTTGCTCGCCGCGCTGAGCAAGTCGGCGGCGTCGGCGGTGACGTATCCGTTCTCCAAGGCGAAGACCCGTGCGCAGGTCATGGGCGATGACTCTTCGTCGTCTGCGCCAAAAGCTTCAGGTGGGGAGCCGTTGAAGGAGAACGGTAACGCGGAGACGGACGAGGGGATCTCGTTCACACCGGCGATCGTCAGCAATGTCATCAACATCGCTCGCACGGAGGGTGTCGCGGGCTTGTACGCGGGTCTGCCGGCGGAGGTCCTCAAGGGCTTCTTCTCGCATGGTTTCACCATGCTCGCCAAGGACGCGGTGTACTCGGCCATCGTGCAGAGCTATTACCTGCTGCTGATCGCGCTGCGCAAGTACCCGAGCCCCGAGGAGCTGATCCAGCGCGCCCGCGAACAGGCTGAGGAGTACGCGGACGTCGCGCGGGAGGGCGCTCGTGATTTGGCCGAGAAGACCAAGCAGGGTGCGGAGGAGGTGATGCACTCCCTGACCGCGCAGGGCGAGCCCGAGGAGGCCAATCTGCTGGGAAATAATGAGACGGCGGAGATGGTGGGCGACTATGTCGAGGATGAGGGCACGCACAAGGATTTGTATCATTGGTTCTGGGAGAAGGATCGGGAGGGGAATTACTGATGTTGGGGTTGAGGTTGGGGTGGTGGTTTTGAAGAGATTGAGCGTTCATCTACACCTGTACTAATTGTTGAAGCTGTAGTTTCGATATCATTGACAACAGGTAATTATCATCGATCCTTGAATTACGGTCTTCTGTCCGCAAAGCCAGAAGTCGGTAGTCGGCAGCAACCAGTCCCGGGTTGACTGTTACCAGTATGAACACTGAATCACCCCGAGGCTGGCTACATCTCCAAGATTTTATCTCAAGGGCTGTATGTATACTGGTTCCTAGTTGACCAAACGATGGTATGGAAGGAGGTGGTCCCTAATCGAAAATAGTCTTCAACATGCATAGTATGCAAACTAGTCTCAGTCTATACCTATACACCAACCAAAGGATGCGGATTTGTCCTATCTCAACTCTTGACAGTGCTGTTCCTCAGCCGAGATTACCTCCCGAGTGCGCGGAGGGGACAGCGGAAGTGTCATCTTCATGAAAGCCTGTTTAATCTGAAGATAAGCCGGGGGGTGGAAGCTGACCACTCTGACGATATGAAGGCGGGCTAGTCCGACTGACTACCACGCTAACTGACTCCCCTAGTAAGTATTCTTCCGTCTTACCGGCGGCACACAAGAGCATCGCATCTTCTCACGAGTGTACTGTACAAAGAGCAACAAGAAGAAAGTAATATAAGGATCCATCCATCCCCCTCCCTCCACCACCAACAAGAACTACAAACTGTACCACCAAGCACCAAACCACACCAAACCCCAGGATTCACAGCACACGCACCGCACCACAAACCACCCCTTCGACCTATCTCACCAAGCCACAAAGAAACAAAATGCCAACCCCACCCCTCCAAATCCACCCCGTCACCGAACCCGACCTCCCAGCCCTAACCCGCATCTTCTACGCGGGGTTCACCACAGTCATCGACCGCCAGATGTTCCCCGACACGCCCGGTCTCTGCGCCTGGTGGGCCGCCGCCAACCGCCACGATCTGCGGCAGAAACCCGGGGTGCAGTTTTTGAAGGTCGTCGATCCGGGTCTTCGCAGTGGCAACAGCGACAGCCTTGCCCCGGACGCGGACGTCAACGGGAGTGGCGGGGACGACGGCGGGGTCATCGCCTACGGGAAATGGGATCTCGACCCGGGCCACCGCGGTGCCCGGTTCCCGGAATGGCATGCGGATTCGGATGGGGCCGTGTGTGAGCGGTTCTTTGGCGGGTGTGAGGTGATTCGGAAGGAGGTGATGCGGGGGAGGGGGCATTATTGTATTCCACCCCCCCCCCCCTTTTTTTTTTTTTTTGTTATTGGAGGGGGTAGAAGAGCTGCTGGGGTGGGTTTGGATGATACTGATACTGACTGACCCCCAAAACACAGACCTCGATATGTTGGTCACGCACCCGCAGCACCGGAGGCGCGGGGCGGCGACGATGTTGGTCCGCTGGGGCTGTGAGCGGGCGGATCGCACGGGGATGCCCGTGTATATCGATTCGACGCGCGCCGGGGTGCCGGTGTATGAGCAGTTGGGGTTTGTGGTGGTGCGTGAGGATGCGGAGGCCGAGTTGTTTAGTATGGTGAGGGAGCCGAGGGGTTCCTCCTCTTCTGGGGTTCATGAAGGATGAAAGATGGGAAATGAATGTCTGGTTATGGGTGTTGAGGGTCAGACTCGGTTCTATTCTGGGGGTTTTCGGGTCAGATAGAGAGGCGGGTTGGATTTCCTGGTGCAGGCTATTCAGATCGATCATTCCTGAATGGTTATGCGTCTTAGACTCGGCATATCAGCACAATGTAAAAGTAATCATCATGATGTCAAAAGGTAAGTCATAATTCATAATCATCATCATATGCTACATCATTCATGCACATTGTAAGAAATCGCCCGTCTTCCCCATGGAAGTCAGTCATGAGAAACCAGAAACAATATCAGAAGCATGCACAGACAGAGAAGAAACAACCCTCGACAAGCACAACCCCCAACTAAGCCTGCCCCTCGAGTACCTGTCTCATGAGCCTCGACCGACTAGACAATCTCATCCACCACATGCACATGTGAGCCTGGAAATAACCCCGTTAACCCGGCATAGCAGCCCCAGTACCAGTCATCGTTGATGTTCTCGGCTTCGGTGATTTCAGCACCGCGAGGGAACATCAGTTCATCTTTGACGCCGTCTTCGGGGTACCACGACCACAGAGCATGGACAATCAGCCCAACGCCTCCATCGGGAGGAAAGCGTCTTGATGTCGATGCCGGTGCAGCGGAGGTAGGCAGGGTCGGAGCAGCGAACGTCGGCGTGTTGGGAGTGCTGGGTTCAGAGGACGAAGGGGACGTAAGGACAGTAGTGCGATCGCGCTCGCCGCCAAGTGGCCAAGGACGAAGACGGGAGGCCTTTTTGCGTCGCTCCGAGCCTTCCTTCCATAGCCAATCGCCGGGTGCGAACTCGGGCGAGGCAATTCCTGACCCTGTTCCAGTTGCAGCAGAGGATGAAGATGAAGTTGTGTAATGAGAGAATGGAGAGTTCGGAGTTACAGGAGTCGACGCAGTCGCATGGATGTTTGTAGGAGTAGGAGCGGTGAAGGGAGATGATGAAGGCTGTTGAAGGTGGTCGTCGTTCAAGGCATATCCGCCTACTAGATCCCTGACGATGACACGGCGCTGCCCCTCGTCGTAATCTTCGAAGCCAACGACGATCATACGGTGGCCCTTGATGCAGCGTCTCCAGCCATTGTGACCGTTCTCCTTGCGAATCTTGCCAGTGGCAACAAGGCGCAGGTAGCAATTTGCGCAGATGTCGTAGTCGCCGTCATTACATACAAGGCAGTGGAAGCGGAGCGTTGAGGCGGGGATTGGGTGCGTGCAAATGTCGCAATTTGTGGTGAAAGAAAGAATCTTGAAAATCTCAGTGCCCGATCCGGGGGCGTCATTGCAGTCGTTCGAGGCGCCATTTGGTGTGATTGTGTATGCCCTCGTTGGCGATGCTAATAGGCTATCGCGGGTGATGCGGCAAATGGGAAGCAGGGCGTGTGTGCAGCAGCGACCTTGGTTGACGCAGCGGTTGCAGAACCCCCAATCTCCTTCGTTGCATTGATTACATTTCCAGAGACAGTCGTTTGCTGGAGATTGGCAGCTGTCACAGAACAGCCCAGTCTGCAATCTTCGGGCGGGGTCGTCGTTGGTGACCATTCGCCCATCTCTGTCGGATCGATAGGCAGATTCTGGTGCTCGAAGATACTTGCAAGACTGGAGTATATGCGATGCGTCAATAGGAGCTCGAGGCTCACCGGTCGATGATGCGCGAATGCGTGCGAGATCCGCTTGAGCAGACGCTCCGAAGCCAGTCCATTTGAGGCAGCCGCTCCCGGTGCGATAACATCGCAAACAAAGGTAGAAGTTTCCCTCTTTACAAGTGGGACACTTTTTATGGAGGTCATACTGTATGTTAGGCTTATCGCACCGGTCGCACTTGATTGATGGTTCCACGTACAGTGTCGCTGAACGGGGAGGCGCATTTGATCGAGACGATGAAGGCCGTGAACGAGGCTCCTGCCTTGCTGCGACACCTACCTCGGCCACTAAAGAGCTGATCGGAGGCGACACTGTTGAGGGCTCATCCGGGCTTGAAGGCCAAGAGCCGTTGCGTCCCCTGTGATTCAAAGCCGTGGCCACTCGAGGAGAATCAATCGACGATCTTCCAGCCGGGCGAAGCTGCCTCTCCCTTGCTCCTTCAACCCAGATGTTGGGAACGTTCTGCTCAGATGCCGTGGCACGGCGTGACCGGGATGCTGCTGAAGCCTCCGCTGTCCGAACGCGATCAGCTTGCGAATTTCGAGGCCGATCAGCAACCATGTCACTTGACGATCGCGCTGCAGGCCGCAGCGAGACTTCCGAAGAAGACGCCGCGCTGACCGCTACAGGCGACGTCCTCCGACGAGACCTAGTTCCTCCTTGGTCTGACAGTCGTCTTTGATGGCCTGGGTGCCCGTCACGCGCGACAAGCGGATCCAGAAGATACGGTCTCGATACCGGGGGACCGCCATTCGAGTCTCTCGTATCCCTCATAGCAGCAGCACCTGTACCATTTCCCGCCCTCTGTACAGACTGGGATCGCGCGCGAGGCCGAGAAGACGGGGTTTGCGAGTTTTCTCGAGGTTCCGTCCGTTGCTGCTGGGACCGTGCTCGTAGCCTATGCCTTCGACGATACGCATCCGCAATGCGCTCACTGAGCTCTTCCTCCTGCGACGGACCCATATTATCCAGATCGATATCATCCAACAACCCCTCCTCAAAGATCTGTCGCAAGATCTCCTCTTGCATCGTTTCCGTATCCGACAAACTGAGTAGTGACCTTAAGCTCGACTGATGTTCCACCCGCCTTGTCGACCGGTCCGGATCCTCCTCCCCAGCTGTCGTCCGCTGTCGTCGTGAAGAACCCTCCCGTCGTCGTCGAGACCGACCATCCTCCTCCCTTCGACGCTCGTCCGAATCCGTACCCGTACCCTCCACTCGCCGATGACGACTCCGCGACGAATGTCTCGAGCGCTGTTGCTGTTGTTGTTGACGATATCCCGATCGACTGTCTTGCAAACTCAAAGCCCTCACTTCCTCCAGCACTCTTCGATCCTCCGCATCTGAACCCGCATCCGTGGACGGAAATACCGAATCGCCTGGTTTATACCTCTGCGCAACCTCCTCCTTCTCCGCGGCGGATTTGTCTCGGTCGGGACTGGCCGTCAGGACCATATCCAACAAAGTCGTCACGGTCGCGTTGGGACGGGTGTCGCGCACGGCAGCTCGGCATGATGGGCAGGTGAAGCGGGCGGACGAGGACGGTCGGGAACGGGTTCCTTGTACGGCGAACCACTCTTTGAGGCACGAGCCGCAGAAGGTGTGGAGGCAGTTGAGGAGGGTGAGGGGCTGGTAGAGAAGGTCGGTACAAATCTAGGTGGAGTTGGGTGACATTAGCTCCCTGCATATTTTCCATCGATGGTTTTCTTTTGTTCTGTTCCGTTTAAAGAGAATGGACTGTATGTCTAGTTCTGACAGCTGGGCTGGCACGCAAGGGAGGCAAATGGAGAGCGTCGAATCATGGTGGGGGGACACCCATCAACTCTCCCGCAGCATTCCAGTGGTTCACTCATGTCACCAAACTTACCGAACAAGTCAATTCTTTCTCGAGATCTCTCAGGCCTGGACCTGAGTGTGGTGCAGTCGACATGGAGGTACCAGAGAGAGGAAGTATTTGGAGGGAGTGGGAGGAGTTAGGAGGAGAAAGGAGTCAACCGGAGTCAACCAGAGTAATCGGAGTCAAAGTAGACAGGAAGGAGGATGGAGTGAGTGAGGCCTGAAGACCAAGAGAAGGGGAACGAACAAGCGGGAACTTAGCGGGAGGAAGACCTGGAAGAGGCTGGGATTGCATGTGACGGCAGTGGGACGGGGTTCTGGGGCTGGGCTGGGCGGGGCGGCCAGTCGGCTCAGGCACCACAACCACAAACACCCCGCCAGGCCCACTCGCCATGTTTATTCTCTATCTTTGATCTCTCCACATCCACATCCATGAGATCAAGCAAGTTTACTTCTAGTTGCATTTGACTTCTTATCCCATCTTCAGTTCTCAATCTATGATGTCAAGGGGACAAATAAATCGACAATTCATTGAAAAAAGGCGTTTGCGAAACACATTTCAGACACCTTCCAAATGAACTACATTGATAAGATAGACAGAAGAAGGCCGTGATCATACCATCATTCTGAGAACTATCGACAACTAGCATCCCGAAACCGTCATTCACTCGTCCTCCAGACCAGCTGACTTCACCAGCTCAATCACCTCCTCGTTCCCTCCCTGTCTTGCAGCCCACAGAATCGATCGCCCCATCTCATCTCTGAAGTGAACATTCGCCCCCTTGCCCAGCAGATACACTACCGGCTCTCGCTGGCTTTTGTACACCGCACGATACAACGCCGTGCCCCATCGATCCGCCTCCACGATTCCGCAGTTCGTCCACCACCCACTGGCTTCCTCCAGATCCGCCCCGTGCTCCACCAGCAACTCTAGCGCCTCCATATTCCCCAGCTCCGCCGCAGCAATGTGCGCGGCACTTCTCCTCTGGCGCCATCCGTGCTGCAGCATCAACCGGAGAATCTCCACGGACGGCTTTTCCCCAGCTATCGCGGCCACGCCGGGCACCAGGTCGTCATAGCCACCCCACGCCTCGTTGGGGTCCTGTCCGTTCTCCAGCAGAAAGCGCACGATCTCCACATCGCCGTAGTAGGCTGCTAGGCTCAGTGCATCGCCGACGACCTCGCTGTGGTGGCCGTTCAGATCGAACCCGTTCTTGACTAGGGTCTTCCAGACGGCGAGGGACTGTGCGTAGCAGGCTTGGTGGTAGAACTCATCATTCAAGGAGCCTGGGGTGACCTGAAACCCCTCACTGAAGACCCAGTCCAATATGTCGAGCTGAGCTTTTCCCGCCGCCCGGGCGGCGATGTGGGCTAGTAGGCCGGGTTGCTGTTCGGCATCGGTTGACTGGTACAGGTCTCGAATAGCTTGGAGATTGCCGCTGGTGATGTCTGCCTCAATTTTCTCCTGCACGTGTCTTTCAAGAGATGACTCCATGATGAAAATGGGCGTCCTGATCTCAGAGGACAGAGAATGAGAACGATGTCTAAAAAAAAAGGGTTGTATTCCGTTTCTCACGATGCAAATAAGCAGCCCGGTTGCTGGAACTCCGCACTGACTGAATGACGGAGAGCTTTGCGGTGTCCTGGGTCGAGCTGCTGATGTTGGCAAAAATTGTTCGGAAATTATACCAGCAAGGTTGTGACACTGCGCCTTTTGAGTGAAAGGGATGAGAATCCTGTCAGATTCCCAACTTGGTCTCCATGGTCTTGTTTGGTTGGCTTACTAAGACTATCATAGGCAACCAACAAACAACTTCCACTAGGTGTTGAGCATCACAGCCATCCTCGTTTGATGTCTCAAAAAGCGACCCACTCATGAGGTCTTCAGCTGAGACCTCCCATGATGGTCTGTCATCATGTTGGGGGCGATGACTTGAAGTGCTTTTTAGGCCACCTAGTGCTGATTCTTGGATATGGACTCTATCGGTCCCTGCATCGGCTACCGGCCTGCTCCGCGGGCGTAGTGCTTATTGTTCCCATCATGGTCTCTGTGCCTGGAACTTTTTGCTGTATCTCATCTTCCAGGATTCTCTTCCTCGCGGGGGCCAGAATGCCAACATCTAAATTTCGGCTTTCCTTGTTCGAACAAACACCACACAAATTGAAGCTGTAGGCTCCAGTCAATCGTTCTCATGGCCACCTCTGGACTGACTGCAACATTAACAACAGCTCGCTGGGAGCCGCCGAGTAACCCTCGTCTGTCTCATGTTCTGTATGTAAGAAATAAGGCCCAAGCAGGGACAGAAAACCGCAGCACAGCAATTTCTGTTGAGCTGAATTCCCGGATATAAAATGGAAGAACCAAATGCGATACTCCTACTTTGCATTGAGACACACACTCTCTCACTCATCGAAGCCTATTCCGACTCTTTGGCATTCATTGGACCCTTGAAACCAAGTTCAAAATGCGATTGTCCGCTTTCAGCCGCAACAACGCCAACAGCAATGGCAATGTTCTGTTCTTCCTCTTTTCAATCCTGTGCTCCTTGCTCCTCTTCACGTCCCAGACACCCACTGCCTAAGCCGCTCCAGTCAGCACCGCTCCCAGCAACAACAACAATGCCTTGGACACACTGCAGCTCGCCGCCCGCGACAAGCACATCCCCACCAAAGCGCAAGTCGAAGAACTGATTCAGCCGGCCCACCTCCACGAATTCAGCCAGTACGCCAAGCGCAACCAACCCCCAAAAGACAAGACTATCTTCTTCACCGGCCAGCCGCAGAAGGCCATCAACGAGCTGGTCAAGTGGGCGAACGGGCAGCACCTCACCTCGGTGCGCGACATCTGGAAGAACGCCAACTTCTTCCAGAAGGGCCAGTACAAGGAAGTCGACGCGGCCACCTTCACCCGCTTCCAGCAGGCCTTCTCCAAGTACTACGCACAGCAGACCGCCGGCACCGCCTATCTCATCTTCCCGCACGACAAGACCCCCACCAAGACTGGCATCTTCTACAGTGTCGAGCTGCCGGAGATCATCGCCCATGGGAAGGTCGAGGAGATCGTCTGGATCGATCAGGATAGAATTCACGATAAGGGTTACGAGTGGAAGACGGAAACCAAGATCTACTGGAAGAAGGGGGAGAGCAAGCCGGCGGGTGCTTAGAGGATCCGGACTTCGGACGGTTGGCGGTTACTAGGTTGTCTTTATGGTCAGTGATTTAAGAAGACTGTTTACGGTTCTTTGTTGGACAATCTGGAGAAGATAGTACTGCGACGGGGGTTTATAGGTTGGATTGTTTAGTTGAGCTGCTCCGTCTGGGCGAGTTTGTCGTATAGATACTTCAAGATAGGTAGAACTGTATGATAGTACGAATGGGTTAGCAGCTTGTACCATGATGATTTTCCAGGGGCAGCAAACTGTGGTGGTTGAAGCTTCAGACTGGAGGGTAATCATTGAGAGTAGCTGCGAGACTGGATGTGTATACCTTCCACCCAGCCTTGGGGTATTCCGAAAGTGCTTGGGGATTCCTCCTCGCGGTTTCACCCCTCTCGGGGAGAGGATGAGGTTTCCAAGGAGGGTGACTGGTTGCAGACGAGACAACACAAAAACTCTATCACGACCTCCCCATTCTACCTCAGAAGTTCTCATGTGCAGTTCTTCTTTCCGGATGCTCCGGGTCTTACACTTTCTTCCGGATCAGATCACCTGTTCTATTACTAGTTCATTGTCTGCTCAGCCCTGGTTATCTGCCAAGATAGGTTCCTTGATGACCGCTTGAGCGAGTGGCTATTTGATACAGTAGGCTATGCAGGGCTACCAGGTTCCCAGGGGAGAGTCCTGATATTGAGGCACGTGTTAGTATACATTAGGAAGGAGTCGAAAGCGCCCCCCCCCCCTCCCCCCGATCCTATAAGATAGACCGTTGACACTTGACCCTACCCAAAGGTACCTCAGGACGATTCATGTCGTTACTCGCAAGAGGCACTGAAAGAAGTGTTTGAAATCGCAAGATTACTGATTGTATAATCAGATCTTAGACTTACTGCCCTCTTGTCTGTTGTTTCCACTCGACCAATTGTTTGAAGACATGTATCATCCTGATCTCCGGGGGCATCTTCTGTCACCTCTCGACCATAGCATCCCAAAGGTGTATTTCACCTTTTATCTCTCTTTCAGCTTGCAGCAGCCAGGAGTGGGCTTAAGGTCACTTCAAAACGGCATCAGAAAGCTCGCTGAAACCATTCCATTTATTACATATGATGTGGTTCCCTCCGATATCAAATCGCCGGAGAACGCTCACTGCATCCGACCTCCCTCTAGCTCGACCATGTTCGTACCATTACTTCAAGTCCGAGACCATTTTTATGAATCGGTAACAGTACTTGGGGGCACTTCCACCTGTACTGGCGATGAAGAATTGGAATTCTCCAAGAAGTACGCACCCCTACCGACAGTGCTGCACCCCACGCAGCCCCAACCTGCTCTGCGATTTGCCGCCAACATGATGACGGATGGGATTCTTCTGGGTGTCAGCTTCAACCACTTGGTCTTTGACGGCACTGGAGTTGGTAACATTCTCGGTGTTTTGAGCCATTACTGCAGTGGTGCGCAGAGCACGGCAGACCTGCATGAAATCAATATGAAAATGCGTCAGCAATTGTGCCTTGAAAATGCAAGCGGCAAAAGCTTATGGAAAGACTTCTCCGCCAGCCACAGCGCGGAAAGCCCTTTATCATGCTTAACCCCTGCACAGTGCCAATCGGAAATGGCACCGTCGCTCCTCGAATCCTTCCGATTCAAAGTGTCGGACAGAACGATCCGTCGGTTAAAAGGTGTTTGTACCGCCATGATATCTGGCAACAACTACTACGAGACAAATGCGGCCAGCTTGGCATACATCTCATGCCATGATGTGCTGACCTCTCTTCTTGCGGTGTGTCTGCATCAGGGTCAAGCCACAGCATTGCACGAAGGTGATTACAAGATCTCCTTTGCGGCCAACCTCCGACCTCGCATGAGGCCCCCCTGGCCCAACCTCTATCTCGGGAACATGGTCGCTATGTTGCACGTGCCACAGTCGTCCCTGACAGAGAAGGCCAACATCAATAAAGGGATCATCGCGGCATATCATCCCAACATGCACACTGAAGACTTGATCCAGGTCGCCAACACGGCTTCCGCAATCCGCCAGGAGATCCGGACCCTGACGGACCCGCACATTCGCAGCTTGATCACTTATTTGCGGCTGCAGCGTGACTGGGGAGCAATGAACATCAAAGGCGGCCACTTCTCCGTCACCAGCCTTCGGCATTTGAATGTGTATAACTTCAATTTCGGCGAAGATTTAGGCACGGTGTCCGACTTTCGCTTGCATGTGGGGCTGCTGGAGGGTTTTCTGTGTGTGATTCTTCCCAAGGGGCAGCACAAAGACTGGGATATCCAGTTCATGCTGCAAAAAGAACAAGTTCAAGCAGTCAAAAACCACCGTCTTTTTCGTTGGTTAATGGGTGAATGTGATGGGCAAGCTAAGCATGGTTACTGTGCCTCTCTATTGCACGGAACCATGGATTGAGGGCAACCCCCCCTCTCTATATCACGAACCATGTGCTTGTCGTGAGTTAGGAAACGAATTCCGGAGGGGATGGCTCCCTTTTCCTTTCACAGGGCAGGAACCAGTCGTATCTAGGCAATGAACTAGCAACCATCCTAGGGACGGATGCGCCTTCCGTGCCAGTGTTATGCCCTTTTATTTATAATGGCTTTGACTAGGAGGAATGCACCACTCTTCCCCCATCTCTCAACAACCCTCATCTAGTCACCACAACTATATCCTAAGAAATCATGTCTCGGGTCGATCCTACCTCAAGACCGCGAAGGTCCATCCGGAAGACAACACATCGCGGAGATATGATTCCTCCCACTACTCCTCCCTATATTCATCCTGCTATACCGCACATCGAAAACAGTCATCCATATCATTATTCATCACGAGCATCTTATCTACCTCGCAATCAGCAGTTCGTCGATCATTCCGCTCATAGTCATCCTCAGCCGAGCTTACTGCGTCATTCGAACGACGTTGACCACACCGAAAGAGTGCAAGATTGGCTTTCCCGTAAGCTAACCCCATCACAAATCCTCCTTTCTGCCGAGCAATCCTAATGCTGCCTTTTAGAGGCCGATTTGACACCAAGAAGGTGGCCGGAAGTGCAATACATGGCCAAGAAAAAGTCAAAGTCAAGGCAGAGGAGGGAAAGGAGGAGAGCAAACGCTCAGCAGACGTCAGAAAGGGCAGCCACAACGTCAACGGCTGGTCCCTCGACAGTTGAAGTTTCGTCCACTCTCCCCACGACAGAGACGGAGACAGAGCAAGCCGCACCAGTGGAACCAACAACCGAGCCACCAGACGCAAGTACCCAAGGGGGAACAACAACCGTTGATCAGCTAGCGGCAGAGCTTGCCAAGTTAACCAGCCTGGTCGATTCCGTAAATCTTCCCCCCGTCTATACATACTCTCTTTTCATCTACCATGAGCCTTATGGATTGGGACGACGCAGTGCCACTCGCGCCACTCCCGGCCTTAATCGTGCTCTCGCGGTGGGCGTGATGGATCCCGAGCGCATAGGCGCTGTCCTCTCGAAGATCAAGCCCTTAGAGATGTTGGGTTTGCGAGACGTTTACCGGTCACTCTTCGATAGGGACTTGTTGGACGATGTGAGAGATAATAAGGCTGGGCTGGTGGTCAGGCAGGATCCTGAAGAGGAAATCCGGACGATAGACCATGACTGCATGGGGGCACGTTATGACCTTCCGTGGGATAGAGCAGTAACCATCCTGAAAGCTTTGGGCGTGCCTACCCAGGAGCAGTTGGAGACCCTGCCGCCATCGGTTACTGGGGGTGTTACTGTCGAGCGGGATGGCCGGCGATGATGAATTTGCCGAAAGAGCCTTTCGCTGATCTGCTCAGGGAGTGGGATGATGGTCTTATGCAGTTGCATAGTATCTGGAGGTTAGCTTAGAGTAACTCTGTTTAGCTTAGTTTTGGCTATTCTTCCGCAATGAATATTTTGAGCTTGTGAAAATGGTGGATGAGGTAAGGTGTAAGGACTGTAGAACAAACAGTGTGCTTTCCTGACCTGAGTAACTGTTGAAGTCTTTTCTGTTTGCTTTACAACACGGCTCATGAGGTGAGGGGTCTTTTCCGTCATCGATAGCCTGGAGAACTATCACACGTACCGTATCGGGGGTGGAGGTTGTCACCCAGTCCCAAACTGGAATTTGAGCCCGACTCCCGAGTCGGTCACCGAGGCGCAGGGAAGATCCTCGGGAATTCCCCGAGGTGTGGAGACCCAAATGACTAAGCGGGATACAAAGTGGCCTAGACTATTGACACGTGACCGATAAGCATCACGAAAATGTTCTGTGATGTCCGACTCCCCCCTCGAATGATGTCGGTGTTGTCATGGCAGACGTGGCCACAGTCTACCCTCTGCACAGCTGACGAACGTTATGACGTCCTGCTACCTATAATAGCATCATCCAAGGGATCCTGCCCTTTGTAAGGCGCTCCATTTCCCCAGAATTCGTCGGGCGGCACGTCGATCGTCCTCGGAGCAACTGATCTTCCTCCTTTCGATAAGCTTCGATAGAACAAAAGTCAGCATCGCTAGGAAGACTAGCTAGCTATCAGTCTCGGCTCTCCTATGGCATATCCTGGTGCTAGGAACCTCGATTCCGAAACAATGTCCCCCTACGCATGACTTCGCTCCGACGCAATTAATTGCATCGCTTAAACGTGCTGCCAAGATACCCCCGACTCCAGCTCTTGCAACATTGGAAACAATAGTGTGCCACTGCGCCCCTCTCCTAGAGGGACTGCCAAGCACGGATGGGATGATGTGATGGTGAAGCGGTAGCCGGTTGCCCCTTCTAAGGCTGAAGGGCTGCAGCGTTCGGGGTGGGGACCGTAGAGCTGCGTGCGTACGTATGCCTCTATCCACTTTCGGTGGCGCTGGAGCGGCTAGCGACGCCCTCGGTGGGAACATCAACCATCATGGCGCAGTTCGATGACCACGCTGATGGAGGAATAGTGCAAGACCCTGTATGTTCTCTGTCTATCTGGCTTATCAAGAGTTGCAGCAATTGCTGCGCATCGTCGAGATATCCCCTTCAACAGATGTGAGTCGGGTCACTGGCATCTCCCGTCCTGACGCGTCAGGACCCGCGTACGTACCACCCGTGGACTTCGAAAGGCACGCAAAACCCTAAATCAATGAGTGGCAGCGGAAATGCCAAGACTCCCAAAGATTGGGGCGATAGATCGGGGGCGCGCCCACTCTCCCCAGCTCTCTTTCCCCCTGGATAGTCTAGGCAACATCATTCGAAAATTCATCAGCGCCCCCCTGCCGGACTTCTGTCAGCGGCAGTGTCATCGGGGTTTATTGATTTAAGAGGCTGTTTCGATTGATAGCCAAGCCCCGATCTGCGTTGCCTGTCTAGCCCGATGATGTCGTATGTGGCTATGATGTGTGCCACATTTCTGGAAGGAGAGGGGGGGAAGTTTGGTCTGCTTTGCGAGGCTCCACTGCTTGGCTGGGTGGCTGTCTGTCTATATAAGAGGGGTTGACCACCTCTCTTCCTTCTGAGTTGTTCATCAAACAAAAACCATCTATCATCTATCCTATCTTTCACAATGGGTCTCTTCCACCACCACCACGAAAACCCCCCTCACCACGGCGGCCCCCAGGGCGGTCCTCCTGGCCCTGGCGGCCCCGGCGGCCCCGGTGGTCCTCACGGCGGCCCTCACGGCGGTCCCGGAGGTCCTGGAGGCCCTGGCGGCCCTGGTGGCCCTGAACACTTCGGCGGCCCTCACGGCGGTCCTCACGGTGGTCCCGGTGGCCCTGGTGGCCCTCACGGTGGTCCTCACGGCGGCCCCGGTGGCCCTGGAGGTCCTGGAGGTCCTGGCCCCCACGGTCACGGTGGCCCTCAAGGCGGTCCTGGCGGACGCTGGTAAAGTAAGTTGGCCAACCGCATCTGCACTATGATCAATCACTAACTTCTGGATAGTACGACACACCTACCTCCGACTACCATTGAACCGCGCTTCGCCAGGGGTTGAAGCTTGCTTGGATTGTACATACGTTGTTGGATTTGGCTGTGGTTGAACATGTCTTGCATCATATACATTTGCCATGATTGAATGGCGCAAATACCCAATACAATCAGAAATCATAATTCGACGAATTGCTTGAATCTTCCTCCCGAAGTTGTAACTCTTCGCATCATGTAGACTTCTAGACTCAGTTGCACTCTACTCTCCACTTTAATCGCGATGACGATGTCGGAAAAGATAGAAGATGCCATTAGGATCCCTGGTTACTTCACCCATATCTGGCGGGGCTCGTTGTTCTACTTATAGAATATCAGGTTCCACGTAGTACGTCATACGCAAAACTGATCTAGAGCTCAGATTGATAAGGAGCGATGTTGCTGATATACTTAGGCTATGTCGTTGGAGATCTAGGCCAGTGATATTTGTCAGTCGGATGAGTTCATGTTTTGACTAGAGACATACATATTCAATGTAATAGTAATTCTCTATATATTTCAGGTTAGGCTTGTAATGAAATAATTTACCACTTTATCGAAGTCTTATGCTCCCAGATTTCGAATACTAAACTTTTACTCATGCCTCTATTTCCGCCCCCATGTCGGGGAACGGAGCCCTGGTGCCTCAGGCAGAAACAACGGACACGGAATCCCGTCCCCGCTCAAAGAGTCATCAGCTCATGTCCTTTACGGTCTTCAACACCCTGCCTGCAGCTTTCTTCTCCCTTTCCCACTCATGATATCTACTGCATCCTCACACTGTCTACGTGTTTGTCATGCGCAGTCAGGAAATCACAGCCCTCAAAGCATGCCGGCCATGCTCCAAGGCCAAGACCCGGTGCGATCCCGGGCCAAGCAGCCAAGCCTGTCAGAGGTATGTGTGCAACGCCTGGGAAGCATAGCATAAACCACTTCCGAGATCATGACTGAAAGCGAAGTACGTAGATGCCATCGCCTACGGAAAGAATGCACGAAACAAGCCCCAGGAGCGCATAGTCTTGGCAAACCCAGAACCAGAACGTTGACGTACGTGCTGTCTATCCTCTCAAACTGCAATAGTTGACGCTGAATTGCCCATGTCCAGGGACGTGAGACGGTTAGAGAAGAAACTAGAGAACATGACCTCACTCCTAGGGCCCTCCCAGCAGCCCATTGCAGACATCATCTCGAATTGCGGGTGCCTGACACCCGTCGGCCAGATGCCACAAGTGTCACAAGCACAGACCTATTCTTCGAGCGGGTCAAACGAGACATCGCAGGCGACAGTCGCCATTTTCCACCAGCGCATGGCGACGCGCTTCCCCTTCGTTGTGTGCGCACCCTCGCTGTCGGATGATGAGCTTCTCGTCCGCAAACCGTTCCTCCACATGGTCATGTCCATGATCGCCTGTCAGGATCAGGAGGCGCAGTGGGCTATCGCCGGGAAGGTCAAGGCGCACCTGGTTGAACGAGTCGTCGTCAACGGGGAAGCTAGCTTGGATCTCTTCCAGGGGTTTCTTCTCTTCCTTGCGTGGTGAGTCGTGCCCCCTTTTTGATTGTTCACTATATGATTATAATTTTGACCGCTGCGGGGGCGTGTGTGGGAACAGGGCGCATATCTACGTCCCCTCGCCGGAACAACTGTGCAACTATCTCCATCTACTGGTGGCTCAGAGCAGGAATTTGGGTCTGGCCAGAGATGTATCGAGCGGGGCGCCGATGTCCGTGTTGTCCTATATGAAGTGCAGACAGTTTGAGCGGCCATCCGGCCCGGGCCGGACCTTGGAAGAACGCAAGGCTTATCTGGGGTGCTTTTACTTGGTTACGATGTATGTCTCCCCAGCCTCGGAAGGCTTCATATTTGCTTGATGCTACGACTGACCCAGCCAGGATCTCAATGTGTCTAGGCGAATCCGAGCCCATGCAGTATACAAGCTACATGGAGGAGAGCTACCAAGTCCTCCAAGCGGCGGCGCAAGGAGAATCCGATCGATACCTGTTGTGTCTGGTCGATCTCGCTCGCATGGCGGAGAAAATCCACCGTACCCTTCAGCTAGACCACCCGCATGGGTCGACGGGCTCCTCGGTCTGCGCACATGGAGGAATGGCCATCCGATGGCTGCAGAAGGAGCTCGAACAACTGAAGCCTGCGCTTGCATTCAATGATCCCACACAGACCTGTAAGCCCGCCACCCCGCTGCATCAAGAGAAAGCCAAGAGCGCATTTAACAACGGACCTGAACAATATGACAGCATTCCTCCTTCTCCAATACCACAACCTCGAACTCTTCGTCTACCGCACCGCCCTCCGCTGCGACCCCGACTCGAGATCAAGCGCCTACCTGCCCACCCACCTCACCACCCTGCACGCCTGTCTCCACGCCGTGAAATCCTTCTTCGACACCTTCTTCGCCATCCCCTCATCGGCCTTCTTCCACATGCCCTACCTCCTCTGGTGCCAACTAGGCCACGGCTTTCTCATGCTCTCCCACATCTCCGTCTACGACGTTGGAGACGATGACGACGATGAGAACCCGGCAAAGAACCTCTGGGACCGGGAGTACGCGCGCCAGGTCATAGATTACCAGGCGACGGTCGACCGGCTCACGCAGAAGGTGGCGGATGCGGTCGCGGTCGCCCGCGAGGAAGGGACCCTGGTTCCGAGGGTGTTTGGCAAGGTGGCGTCTCGGATTGCCATGTGGCGGGATGCCCATGCGCGGCAGGAGGAGGCCTTGCGACAGCGGCAGCGGCAGAGAAGTACGCTTCGGTCCGCGGCCGCAACATCCACGTCGACAATGAGCCCAGAGGTTGTTGTCGGGATGGAGATGGAGACGGAGGAACTGGTGCCTGGCATGGGGTTGGAGGATTTGTTGATGATCGGGCCCATGTGGGAGTTTCTGCCTTTTTGACCCGGGGGGGGGAACGGGGGCTTATGTTCGTGCTACGGTTGGTTATGGTTGGGCTATAGGGCTAATAGATCATGAGGCTGGCGAGGCTCAGGAGGAGGAATGATCATCATGATTACCATATGATCACATATCATGGATTCCGCTCGCTTCTTCTTCCGCGAAGCAGAACCTTGGCTGTCTGCTTATTTATTTTACAGCCTTGTGTACTGCGTACTGTACCTGCCAAGACGGTTCGCTCTGGTCATGCCATGGCTGGAAGCTCATCAGCAGCCAATGCAGGCTCAGCCGCGTAAGTGGGTCTGCATCCATCAATATGCGGGGCGGGGGGGTGGGAAGGGGAAGGGGTCTCGCGTCAGCTCCCATTGGGACACCCTTTTTACCCCAAAATTCTATCTTGATTGTCTCGAGGACAATCCGCTACCTGTTTTCAATGGCAGAGGCAGCTACCCCAAAGGTGCGCAAGCAGGAAGGGAGCCCGCGGCGGATAGCGGGTCCTGTACTGTACAGTACTCTGCTGATGGCAGACCGTCAGTTCAAATTTCAGAAGGATGAAAGGATCATGAGTAGTGCGATTATCACACCTCAGACCTCGTCTACTGTGTACTATGAGTGAGATACACATCCTGATATGAGTCAGTTAGTTAGACTAGTCCGTCACCATCCTCATCACCAGGGTAAGCGACCCGCCGATCGCAATCCCACTACTGCGCGAGGAATGTCAGCAGCCAACGGGCACGTCAATGTCCACACGAATTCTCCACCTCGAGTTGACCCTGGCCCCGTTCCCCGTGCCCGATACATTTTAGGCGATTTAGCGCAGGGACGATGGATGGGGGAGTGGGGAAGGGCACGGAAATGCAGAGCTTAAGTAGGTAGGGTAGGGTATTCTCGTCTTACTTGTACACTCTCCCTTCTCCCTACCTTACTAGTGGCAGTGGTAAGTTAGGGGTAACTCAATGGTGGTTGTAGTCTCACTCACCACACACCCACGCTCCTGATTTCTTCTCCGCATCTTACTCTGACTCTTCCTCTCCCCCCCCCTTTCACCCCTAAGAAAAGACGACACACCATGACCAACACCACCGAGATCCAAGGCTTCGCCTCCCGCCGCAACAACACCTGCCTCGCCGACGAGGTCAGCTGCGGCCGCACCTGGGACACCTGGTATGCCTGCTGCCCGGCCGGCTCCTACTGCCCCGGCAGCAAGGTCAGCATCCCCAACAACGTCTGCTGCCCGAGCTGGACCGACTGCACCGCCCAGATCGAGGACCCGCCCGTGTGCGCCGGCGCCCAGTGGGCCCTGTACAACTACAGCGGATACTTCTGCTGCGAGGAGCACACCCAGGGGTTCGGGGTCAAGGAGAAGACCTGGGTCGGGTGCGCGCCGGCGGGGTTCCAGGGCGATGCCTCGTTTTCGGCGTTGAATGTCATTGCGCAAGGTATTTCTCTCCGTCCAATTCCTTGAACTGAAGCTTGGGGGTTTATGTGGGAGATGAGGGTTGAGGGCTAAGTGTAGTTTTGGGGTTGGTGTTGGGTTAGAGACGAGTGCGAGTGCGACTGCGACTGCGACTGCGACTGCTAGTTCGGGTACGGCGACGAGAACAGGATCTGCGACGACTACTGGGGCGAGTGGGGCGGCGGTGTCTTCGACGACGACGACGACAACGGCTGCGTCGACTGCACATTCGAACGGTGTCAATACAGGGGCGGTTGCCGGGGGCGTGGTTGGCGGGGTGGTGGGTGTCGCTGCGTTGGCGGCCGCCATCTGGCTGCTGATGCGGCGGCGGAAGAAGATGCAGTCGCCCGGGTACCAGCCGGGTGTGTCCTCGCAGCCGCAGAATGCAGGGTTTATGCATGAGGCTTCCGGGGAGTCGAGGCTGGGCGAGCTGCATAGTGAGCCCACGCGGATTGAGCTGGTGGGCCACAAGGATCAGTTGAGGCATGAATTGCCTTGATATGTGCCATAATCTCTTCGACTTTCACCCGGGAAAGAAGTTTCCTCGTCAGAACGGACCAGGGGTCATCCCAGGTCACTCCTGGAAATCCAAGCAGAAGCATTTCAAGGAGCGGTCCCCGAAGCATATCACTGAAGAATATGAAAATCTCCTATAATGAACACCCCGATGGTTCGGGTGAAGTCGAAAGGTACACCGGACGATCCCGCTTCTAAACTACGCGAGATTCACCCGGCCGCGCATCTTGAACAGCTCATGTCTTGCGCGACGTCATACCCAAGTCAGACCAAGGGCTTTCTTGTGACACACAAATGCAGGGGGTTTGGCCACTGCGTCTCGAGACATGCTGGGACAAGCACACCTCCCTAGATCGATCAGGTTGGGCTAGAAGTGTTTTCGCAGCGTAGTGGCTTATCTTCCGGCCCTGCTACTTGCTGAGCGATTATAAGAATACTGCTCTTCGGCGAATCAAGCCTTCTTGTCCCCGCTGCATGACAGACAGCTTAGCGCTGCAATCCCCGCAGGACAAAAGTCAAAGCGATCACTCTGTTTGATTCTAAACCAGTCACAGAAAGTATGATGAATGTTGTCTTCGAACATCCATTCCATTTCATCTTGCATTTGGATCAGCCGGCTGTCAGCGATACAACTATCTCCCATAAATATTAGACCTAGTCTGAAGGATAAGTCATGGTTTAACTTGGGTCCCAAGTATGCCGATTGATCGGTTATAATATCAGTGAGATAATTCTTGTTTATGCTTCATTGCATCGCAGGAATCGAACAACACGGCTCCCGAAGAACATACACGTTTGACCTTCTTTTGCTTGGAGAACCGCCAGGCCCACCTCGTCAGGTGCTGTGACAACATTTGGCACGGGTTGAGGGGTGTTGGGGCCGGTGACCCGGACCGCTCCCGCAGAAGCCCCTTTATACACGAGCACGGCTCGGACTGATGCATCCGTGGTCGTAAAGGACTTCGGGAAGGACGTGTGTAGATCCAGAGAAGCCTTTTGGAGAGTCTGGGGCGTAGATCTCAGCATCATCACCAGACCTTCAAGCAATGCGGGGCGGGTTCTTCGCACCAACTCTTGAGCCGCATGTTCTATTTCTGCGTCGCTCGGCTCGCGGCACTGTATAGAACTGATTTGACTTATAGAAGCTGGCATAACCAAGGACTGTGAAGGTATCTCGCAGGGACAGATCTGATCTAGCACGCTTTGGCGATGTTGCGTCTGCCTCCCGGGGAAGGTGTGACCCCCATGGGGCTGGAACTGAACACGCATGTATAATTACCATGAGCCAGGGTTATCCGGAAAATGATATGATGGCAGAGGGGGTCCATTTGTTCCCTTGGCCGATGAAGACCCATTGCGAGACGGTCAGCTTGATCTTTCGTTTAAGTTGGCTAGAAATGGGCGGGTATTCAGTAATAGTAATAAGTTTAGTTCGCTGCCGGAGCTACGCTTCCCTAATCTCTCAAGTACCTGGCCCGAAACAACATTCGCAGCGTGTAGCTACAGGGTATATACCACATATACATCATAGGGTGACAGCAGTCTATTTGACATGAAAAAGGGGAGATCCATAATACAAAGTAGCACGGGCGCAAATCGCACGTGTGAAGTCAACTATACAAAAGTCCATATAAGCTCACTTATCTTTTCCGCGAAGGTGCCGCAGCAGAGCCAGCAGCGCCGCCCATCAACTCGGGCGTGCCACCGACAAAGGCGCGGACAATCTCCTGGTGCGCGCGCCAGATGACCCAGACGGGCACGATGACCCACAGCCCGTTGAAGAACGTCAGGTAGACATACGTATACATCCAGTGGCTCGTGTTCAGCGCGGGGCTGCCGGCCAACCACTCGGGCACGAAGGTCATGAACCCGCCGTACAGCTCGGCGGTGGCCAGACAGGCGGCCACCAGCCAGGTCCGGGCCACGACCACGCCGCGCTGCTTGCTGCCCAGCCGGCCGTGCGACAGCCGGTACAGGCTGTAGCAGATGTAGGCGGCGGCGGGGCCCCCGAGCAGGACGGTCAAGAGCTCGATGGAGATGACAGTGGGGTCGGCGCCGCCCCAGCGGTGGTCGGCCTTGGCGTACTCCTGCCACAGGCGGGCGGTGGGGTCCCAGGACGCGCCGTAGGTGGCGCCGTAGGCGCGGTCGCGCTGGTTCAGGAACACGGGGCCGAAGCGGGACTGCGTGGCGGAGATGGTGATCGAGCTGAAGAAGCAGTGGTACAGGAAGGAGCCCTCGATCAGGAAGTGCGTGAGCGCGTCGTACGCGTGCCAGAAGAAGAGCAGGCTGGCCAGGTCCTGGCTGGCCGGGATCAGCCGCCGGCCCATGATGTAGGCGATCAGCATCGGGAGGAAGGCCATGACGAGGCAGCAGACGGTGGGCACGTCCAGCACAAACGGCTGGGCCATGATCGCGCTGTAGTCGTACAGCAGGGCTTGTTGGAGGAGGTTGTCGTCGGCGTGGACGGCGGCGTTCGGGTTCGGGAAAGCCACGGCGGGAGGAGGCGCGGGGTTCGTGATGCGATCAACGGTTTGCGCGGCAATGGTGGTGCTGAGCAGGTGCGAGTGCAGGTTTGAGGCTATATTCGAAATGTGGGACTGCGCGGTCGTGAGGATGGACTCGACCGAGTCTTTAAGTGTCATGGTGGGCGGGTTGGAGACGTGATGATTGATCGCGGGGAGACAATGAACGAGAAGGAACAAGTCAGTTCGTGTAATATCTTGAGGTTTAAGAGGAAGTGGTCTTCCCCCCCTGAGAGATCTCACTTTCAAAGAAAGTCGCGTCGATGCGCGATCCGGCGGCCTCAGGCAGGTGGAACTTGTCTGTTTTGGGGATGGTGGCGCCCCACTCACTTTGCATCGATGCTTTGTTGTTTCTTTCATGCTATTTCCAGCTTCTTTCAGCTCTCGCTGGGATTCTTCTTGCAAAAGCAGTATCAACAACCTCGCGCTTTGGCGTACGGTACCAGGGCTTTCTCTGCTGGATCCAATGTTGTCGTTCGAGTCCTTTGTACCATGTCTGGTAATCCCGCCTAAAGACAACAAAGAGTTATTTGCATAGTCGATTGTACCATACCAAACTACTGTGAATCTCTCTGGGATACTTTCCGACACCACGCACTAAGGATCTTATCAGTTCTGCTTATAATCCGCATTGATCTGCGTCTATCAGCATATCACCTTGTTGTCGTAATACTATCTTCTTGCTTTGTACTCTACTGTCCACAGGATTATGTTGCAGCGAACCCAGATCGATCTCAGTGAGAAGAAGCAGGTCTTTCATACCCTCGTTGTATTTTCTTAGGAGTCAGGATCAATCCAAATGGCAACGAGCTTTCCGTTAGCTATTCAGGGTCTATGGGTTCCTGAGTGATCGTCCCACCTTTTGTTCGAGTCCTTGTGTGCATTCAGTGCCATCTCCGATAACTCGATCCTGCTGTTCTTGGGCCCTCTCCTCAACCATCCCCTTCAATTATGGCATGGTCCTCGGATACGTCTCAATGTCCAAACTCCGAAGGATCCATCCTGTTCTGACGATTGACCGAGTCCCGTCCCAGTCGACGAAAGGCCACCCAAAAGACGCAAGCACAGACAAACACCAATCCAGCTGCTATTGACCAGAGAATCACGAGGTACGGATCCTTCGCTAGCGGTGACAGTGCCATACCCAGCCCGTAGCCGAGCGCCAACGTCCCCACATAGCACGCCTGCATCACCGACTTCATGCTCTTTGGCGAATGGGTGTAAAGGTATTCTGCGCCCGTCGGCCAGCAGAACACCTCAGCTAGCGCGATGATGATGTAGGTTGGGAGCTGGATCAAGATGTGGATCTGGTTTGGAATCTGGCCGTGATCGCTATTCGATGCAGCACAGGCCAATGGGTGATCGTAGCAGGGTCTTGCGTGGTAAATTGCAGCTTGAAGAATGGCAAAATAGGTCATGGCTAAGGACATGATGAGGAATCCAAGGGTGATACGGTTCACTGGATTGAACATGATCCCGATGCGCTGGAGAAAAGGATACAATATTTTGTGGACGAGAACTCCGAAGAGGATGTATGCTACTGGGTTGGAAACCTTGAGAACGTCGTTGGGAATGCCGTGGCTCTGCATTGTGCCGGCTTGAGATATGCCTTGTTGAGAGGCTTGGGACATGCAGAGCCAGAAGATGGGCCAGCCCATACTAGGATGTAGTGGTTAGCTGAGACTCGATGCTGTGCTGCTGGGCCAATTCACTAGATCTTGAAGGCAGATATCCCGCTTCGGAGCTCGGCGATAAATCCTTCATCCCATGGAACGACGCGTTGATAGATTGTGAGTTGGGTTTGAGGATCGCATGCTTCAAGGTTGAATCCACTCCGGCATGCGTACCAGAGGCACTGGGCGGCTTGGGGAAGAACGGTTCTTTGTGGTGGAGGATGGACTGTTCATTGTCAGTCAACCATAGTTAGAATTCAGAGGCAGCACTCGCCAAAAATTCCCCTTGCTGCTTGCACGATGACAAGGCACACCAACACGGAGCAAAGAGCCAGAAGATAGCTCGACCAGAAGCCAACATATCTCTCCATCATGGTGGTGGCTAAAGCCCCCATGGCTCCAAGGTTTGTCATCCTAAGTAGTGTAAACTTCAGAGCGAGTCCCAGACAGTGAGAAGTGATCTAGATGACCTACCAGTAGTAGACACTGTAGATGTATTGGACGGTGAGGTCGCGGTCCACCACTACCCGCCGGCCATTTGCCCGGGTCTCAATGCGTCCTCCAGGATCTGTATATTGATCCGCTATTACGCCAAGAATCAGTCCAATCGATGAAAATATGCATCACCTGATGGGGTCGCTTAAAACAGCAACGAGATCACTACCAATGAATGGTTGAAGTGAGGCCAGGACCCCTCCAAGCCCGATGGCAATCAGTGCAGCTCCCACGGCAAATCCCGGTACCGCAGCACCGTTACGCATCATGGCAGGCAAGGAAGTAATGAATAGAGTCAAAGATCCCAGTGTATATAGTCTGCTATTCGTTAGCAATGATCTAAGTCCAAAAATCAATCATAATCGGCCCGCACACAAAGAAAATCTGCAATGCCAAATACCGTCCCAACCGACCATCGACTAAGATCGAGATCGGCAACGGCAGGATATTCACCAAGACTGTAAATGCCAGATTAACCGTAGTGGCTCGTGATTCCCCAAGACCCAGGGCCCCGGGGATCGAATCAGAGGGGCTATGCTGTAGGTAATTCTCTAGTAGAAAAAGGACCGGTTAGCCATGCTGCTCTAGACGTTGGAGCTCTGTGGAGAGCTTTGTGATCTGCGTACGAAAGATACTTTGGGTGCCCTCGTAGGTAAATCTTTCGAAAACGGCGATCGATGCTGCTATCCAGACTCGAGGCGGTAAAGAGTCTGCGACATGGAGTAGGTGTTGGAGGCCATCGTCAGAATAGGCGGAAGAGGACCCCTTGTCCTCCAGTGCGTCATTGCTGCATTGGTTTGACTTCTGTAAGTGTAAGATCATGGTTATCTTTTGCCTAGGCTTGGAATCAAAATCCTAAGTTCCAAGAGATGCATCATGGCCGCTTTTATGCATAGTGCATCTAGTTCGGCGTTGGTCGGAATGGATTCGGTGTTCGGAGCTGGATAAAAGCTGATAATGGGCCTTATCGGTGCAAATGTCATCGAGATGTCAACTATAAAGTGCAATCTTAGCGCTCGGGCATAGTATAGACCTTGTCTCTTGGTGATGACGATGATGAAACATCCAGAACCCCGGAGTACTGCTTGAAGCAGTATACACTGCGTGTGGCCAAAGTGATACCTGGGAAGACCCGACATCAATGATACACGAGTGGTCTCGCATGCCTCTACCTGATCCGAGTACTATCATCAGGTCATAGATGGCTCGGCCTTATTCCTCTCTCGCGCTTAGTATCCACTGGTGACTGTACATACTCCATCCATTGGGCCGATAAAGCCCTTCCATTCTGTTCTGACTTCTTGCTATCGTGGCGCATCCAAAACTCCGCCTCCTCACGGTATGCCTTGAGCTGAATGTCTAACCAGTCAGACATGCGACAAGCTGTATCGTGCACCCTCTGTAGCGGTGCCATGTGAGAGGCTCCCAACACGACTTCAGCTTGAACTTGCCCGCCTCCGCCGAGCCCTGTGCCAATTCGATCCAACTTGTCCTGCCTCCGCGCGGGGATATTGATATGACTTTTTCCTCCGAAGATAAAAAAGACTGGTGGCCGCACGTATGAAAGAAGCTCAAAGGCAATACATGACCATGGGCATATTGTCACATAATTTCGGTTGTTATTGTCGCCTTCCTTGGCTGAGAGGGCTAGATCCGGGCTTAGAAAGCGCTCCGTCCTGGAAAGAGCACCATTCTTGTCATTACCGTCTATTTGAGGTGTTGCATTGAGGCGCAAATATGTCCAGGCCTCTTGGGCTTTTGTCGTGGTCAAAGTCACGGCACCGGGTAGAAGGGGTCTTCCTGGGGTATTGAGTGGATAGAGAGCCGTTGGGAGAGCACGAAGGCCATATTGTATATATTTATCGACAGCCCGGGAATCCCAGCGGCGCCAGAACGGGTTGCTGCGGATATACTTCTCGGCCTCGTGTTCTGAGGACCACAGATCAGGTCGGGTGCTGGCCCAAAGAACCGGACTTCGTCCACCTAATTTACTGGGACTTTCGACTTGAATCATGGGCTCGAGGGAAATGAGAGAATGAAAGAGCCGGGGGTGCATTATACACACATGAACACTGAAATCAACGGATATTAGTGACAAAGCTTTTGGTTTCCGGGAAAAGACAGGGACAAGTACAATTGCGAGCAGCTGAAACTATGTGCAACTCCCACGATTGGAGGCTTGATCTGATCACTAAAATGGTTCACCATGCCCAGCAAGTCTCGAGAGTGGTCAAATCAGCTCGCTATGGTTGCCGATCAGCAGGTCCAATCTCTTTCTACAGGGGAATGCATATGATAGTTTGTCTCACGATCATCGCCAAGGTTGTCTTCGTTCAGCACTCCACTGGTGCCTTGATTGGAGCAATCCGCGAACCAGATGGCCTTGATTTTCCCCTCGAAAGTTCTCAGAAGGTCATCCCAAAGAGGCTCATAGCACTCCTACATTGAGGGTTCCGATCGTTAGCAGGCTATGACAGCGCACCATGGTGAATGGAGTTACCTCTGACCTTTGGAATCCCATTCGCATGTCCTGCTATGATCGATATGTCATCCCGACTGGGATTGTGGTTATTGAGTGAGATGTATTGCTTGATTGCTAATTGCAATAGTCTGTCTGTCTTGACTGCGTGGTGGTATTCACGAATGGAAGAGCAGGGAATAGTGTGCTCGATAATTCTGAACTGGGAGTTCATTTTGCGTTTCGTTTGGATATGAGAACGAAGAGGTAGAGCCGGGTGCACTGCCTCCAGAAGAGACTCTCACGCCATTATATAGGCCGTGGTCGACTGAGAGAAAAGAGCTGATGAAGAAATTGAAGCTAAGGTGTTAAGTGATAAAGTGGTTCGGACCTCCCACCAAACAGATTCCGCATGGCTCGAGCAAACCCAGACTAAGGTCTTAGTCTCAAGCTTTCCAACCCGCTGTTCTAATTGTTGAACGGACTATAATTTCACGCACCCACATGCCTTGGTCACTTCGTCTCTATCTCATTCTATAATAGTTTTATAGGCTACAATCAAAGGCTCAGAATATACCGGTCCTTGTTTCACATTGCAGCCGAATCACGTTATATCATAGCATTACCAAAGGCTTCTCTACATGATCATAGCTGCTCCAAGTCATATGGCGATCACTGTGTTAGTCTTCTCCGCCTTCAGAATGCTCTTTCATTCCAAGTTTGTTCCGACTCTAGTATCACGGTTTCACTATAGCAAGTTCATGGTGTTGATCAGTATGCTTAGAAGATTGCGTATTTTGACCGAAAGGCTCATGAGAAGTAAGCTTTGCGAGAGTGGACACAGTCCAATGGATTTCAGTCACTTCAGACTGACACCTATCCGACAAGATCTGGCCCTTGCTAGAGGTTGTTCAAGCACATCCTAATATCCTAAGTCAATAGGAAGAATAACCCCAATCGCTATCTCTTTACCCAGATCAAAGAGGCACCGCTGGCGGACCACAACGCTGAGGATCCAGTATGACAGTCTGACGGTCGCCATGGATTAACTAGCATCCCTGCGCCTCATAACCTCGACGCTCGCCTGAGTCCAGAAATAGTGGCTTGGCACTGGATGGTGGGTGCATGCGACTGCATTAGGGCGCTGCCCTTGAGATATTGTCGACTTCGATCTGGACCCAAGAGAGAGCATTGACTGTTCTTTCTGCATATTAGGAGAACAACACCATGAGATTCGACTCGACTAATCGAGGGATTGTGGCAAGCATTTTTATGAGATCTGAGATCGGGATGAGGCGGCCCTTCGGGGCACTCTGTTGATGCCAGCAAACCATCTCTGCTTCGCTTTTATCAATGCTGCGAACTGAACCCCGGGTGGCCAATGCCAAGGCCAGCAATTCGATAGTGGCTATTGATGGCGGCGACCCCTGCTGCTTTGTTCTATCGCATCCCTGCCACGTCTTATAGTAGTTGCGCTTAATGCTTGTGATGTTGGACATAGCTTTTGAGAAGGAAAAGTACCTCGATGCGATACATGCGACATGATAAGTAAATCGAGGTGGCCTTGAAACTTTGTGCGATATAGAAAAGATTAGAGATATGCTGTTGGTCCTAGGACTCAGTTGTGGCAGACTGGAAGGATTGACTGCGCACCTTCCAAATAAGACCCTTGACGAAGCATCAACCTTGGCTGAACATTGCCATGCGATCCAATCTTGTGTCCTCGATGTACCCTATCACTCTCATTTTCAGAGATTATAAGCGAGGGATACTCGATCACAGCATGTTGTGGAATTTGTGTGGGGTGCAGGTGTGAAAGCGAACCACACCTCAGCTCTTTGTCGGCTTCCTGGTGGCCGCGACTTGAAAGAACTTCCAACCGCAACTCACACAACCCACTCTTCCGCCACCTTTCCCATTCCTCGAAACCACCTGACCCTATTCGACGAACCAGACTTGGTTCTGAAATGCTCTTTCCAGTGTCTTATTGCTCGGTTATTGCAGCAAAGCCTAGCCCAGGTGCCATTAGCCCACGATGGTCTAGTCCCTCGACCATAGGTGAGATCAACACTTGGGTAGGACATCACTGGAAGCGTCTGGAATAAGTGAGAACAGATAGGGCTTACTTTCCAATTTTTAAGATCTTTCTTGACTTCCGGTCATTCATGCTCACAGAACCTTGCCTCGGACACACTTCTGCGACATCATGAGTTCCGTCGATAACGTGGATGTCACTCTATACAATTTGATCAGAATAGCATGGGACTTGTACCATAACTGCAATCTTGTTCGTGGCGAGGCTCCTGACGGCTTCAAACAGCTTGTGGCCGGATTAATCTCTCTCCATAACACTCTACGTGCTTTGAAAAATAGCGTAGACAGTGTGAGAGGCGATCACGGAGTTGACCTGCAGCCATCCCTTCATGCCTGCTTAGAGACCCTGCATGCACTTCATAAACTAGTGGCTAGGTACAGGGCCATTGGCGCCAGCAGCGAGAAGGAGTTTTGGGAGAAGATGGACTGGCCGACCCAACAAGGACAAGTTGAAGAGTTGAGGTCGGAGGTATCCGCCCATGCGCATAATTTAGGATTGTGCATGAGTTCGATTGTGAGGTAAGGACCCTGGTCACGCCAAGATTTGAGGTCATGGTTATTGATTCTTTCAGTTATTCGCTAGGAAGCTTTAACAACTCGGCGTTGGATAATTCACAAACAGACAAGTCTCCCTTGCCATCACCGCCTCCACAGGCCGAAACAACTCCCATATTTCCACCACCGCCACCGATATCATCTCGAAGACCTCACCTTGTCGGGATCTCCGAGCTAGAGGGAAGCTCTATCTTCGAACCGACTCACTCAGATGTGAAGACACCCAATGGCTTCAGCAATGATCCTACACGTGGGTCGGTCTCCACAGAATCGATGGCCTCCGGATACTCTGATGGCTCCGTCATGTCGGGAAGTACGCTTACTCCTTCTAGTAGCGTATCGGGGAATACGAACTTCAACATGCCCTCGATGGATTTATTCTCAACCGAGAAAGAGGTGTTGCATTCTCGGACTCCAGCCTTCGTGGGAAAAGGCACACCAGATACAGATATGTCACCTCACTCCCGGACGCGATGGGAACAGATTCGTCGATCGCTGTGTTATGAGCCTCGAGATAGGTTCCACCAACCAGGCGCTGAGCTCATTCTCAAATTCGATGCGTCCGTGGTCAAAGGGCAGGAAGTGCGGAACCTCACCACGAGTGGTTGGTTACATATTGCTGTGTGGTGGCTGCTGAAGGTATGGAACAGTGCGTTTTGGCTTCTATGAGTTGACGGCTAACAGTGCCTCAGGCCCGTGCAGTCCTTGCCAACGCGGACAAGCCAGGCCCGTTGGATAACCGTGGAAGCATCAGCCCATCAACCTTATCGTGGTCTTCCAGCCACCAAGCATATGTTGACCTGCTCAAGGCCTCATATATCCTATATGACGTTGTGCTTAGAACTGGCAATCCGGAGGAATTGTTCCTAAATGAGAATCGAAAAATGGTCTCCGATTTGTCGGATGTGAGTAGCTCGAGCACATATGCTGGATCCCACTTAACCAAGACTATAGGGTATCAGGGAAGACTTCTCCCAGTTCAGCTCCGTCGATGTTCCAGAATATGCTGCCATTCATTCACACAATCAGGAAATTTTGGAAACAATACAACCCGAGGAAAGTACTGGTAATATCAATCCACGTTTGGGTCTGGGCGATGTCCGTTATACTACAGTCGAGATCGAAGACGCAGGCAATGAGGACGAACAAGTCTTCTTCCGCACGTTCGTCAACGCCGGGATAGGTAGCAAGAAGCTTCGCATGAGAACAAAAGGCGCCCCGTACATGCTTCTGCTGTCTACCAGAGAGGGAGACAGTGAGCCAAAAATTACCATATGTAATCAGATGGGCACTTTTTGTCTCCAGCGAGACTGTGAGTTATGTCCGCTTGATTACAGACTTTAGTCAGATCTAACCCGGTCACAGTCACTCCAGCAGATTTAGCCCAGTTCGTCCAAGTCTCAGAAGCCTCTTTTAACGTTCTCTCGGTTTCCAAGTCTACAGAGCTGGTGACGTTAATGTTTGGAACGATTAGCGTTTCTATCTCGTTCCAGTATCTGTCCGATTTGGTACAGTTCATCAGCGTTCCGAAAGCCTACTTCGATGCGGTGTGGCCCCGAGAGCCAGTAAGCTCGGATGAAATTACCGAGACTGTGATCTATAGAGGCCCTGTTGAGGTACTGGAGCAGCTCAAAGCACCCAGCATGGTAGCCATGAGTCCGGCTCTTGTTCACCGATCCTGTGAAGTGCGCATTCTAGAGCGATCATTTGGCGAAGCATGGCGCTCTATTCGGAGAATGGTCATCAGTTCTTCTGTGGCTGACAAAGATCCCATGTGTATTGATTGGTTCATGCCTTTGAGCAGTGTACAAATTAACCGCAAAAAAGGATCGAGGCAGGCGCTGCTAAAGTGGTCAGATACTGGGCAAGAACGGTCGGATAGGACTGATGGGAACTACAACCCCCTGTACTCCAATGTCTATGATGAGAAGAATCCCAACATCGGGATCAGTATAGAATGGTCGACAGAGCAGGCAGCTGAGGAGTTTGAGCAGGCTATAATGAGTCTGAACGCGAAACCGATATTCTCCTGGTCTCAGACCCAAAGCTCGGGTCACATCTACGACGCAGTGGACGACACTCCGGATCACAAGATATACAAAACTATCATGGTGTGTCAAACACACGCGGGCTGGAAGTCCAGTGGTGTGTATTATGTCTACAGAGACATCGACTACAGCTATGAGCATGGCAGCCGCAGTGTTCGATTTCCGCATATATTCCACACCCACTACATATCGTCACATGTGGATCAATTGTACCGTGCTGACTCTCAGGTTCGATTTTCCCACAGCGAGAAAGTGACGAGAAGCGTTACGATAAGCTTCGACGAAGTCCTAACCTTGCAGGGGTTCATGAGCTCACTGGCATCCTCCCACGAACTGGTGTTCTCCAGACGTGCCACATCTCTGACGACTAAGTCTAAGCTCTTCTTCGGCCATAAGAAGTCATCTAAAGGAGACTCGGAGGTACAGCTGTGGCGGGATGGGGAGAATCTTCGTCTTGCTGCACGATGGAAGAGTGATCAAATCGTGGACAAGTGGTTAACAATGGGAATGCCAGCTCGGGAGCCGACGCGGGACCACCACGACCGAATAAATTTTCCCACGCAGGAGTTTTCACGAGGAATGGTCCTCAATATGGCTAAGATAGCCGCTGGAAAAGCGAAAGACCCGAGTAAGGAACGATCGCGAGGCCCTGTGACGATCAATTTTTCGTCAACAAAAGGTGGGCTCCCCTATGGGCATGATGAGGCATACAGTATATATCCTGAATACTCTCGGCTTCGAAGCTAATGATCAACGCGAAACGACCAGATCAAAGTGATTTCATTATCGCCTTGCGAACCAGGGCTACGTCATAGATCAGGTGAAAGGAACAGTAAGACATACTGCGGGGAAATTTCGAGCAAAATAAAAAGGGACTCTGAAGGAGAAAAACCGACGATTGTGGCCTATAATGCGATGCTTGTCTGAGATCGACAAAAATAGTCACGCCCGGGATCGAACCGGGAACCTTCTCGGGTCGTTCAGCTGATGTGAACGAGAAATCATAACCATTAGACCACGTGACTGTTTCTTGTTGATGACCGAGTTCTTATTTGTTTCATTAACACCCTTCCCGCATCATCTGCAGTTTGGTCTGCAGATACCACGGACGGTACGGTCGGTCGGTCCCTTGCTGCAAGGCAAACCCGCCGCCGACCACCAAATGATCGGAGACAGGGACAAGTCAGGGACACAGAACTGTGGCCAGCCGGGCATTTTTTCTATGACGCTTGTGATTAGATCTGAGGGGGAGTCTGTGCCTTGGAATGGACCAGGTTTCTAGTCCGTCTGATCTCACTGCTGCGGATTATGGGCCTCAGGAGATCCTCGAATCTTGGAAATGGTTCCTACAGCTGCGGTTCGTGTCGCAGCGTGCCTGCGAAACGATGATTACACCGACCTTTCTCATTCGACAAATCAATCATTTCGCTTACTCGACTCAAAATCTTCTGATGAACCGGTATTCGTCATTGACGAGCAGAAACAGCCACATTTATGTAGTCATTCCGTGACTCAAACCAAAGCTAGAAGGTAACTTTCTGTCCACTTCTGTCCCGTATGACTTGCAGACAAACCCCTCAAATCGAAACCTAAGTGTCCACACCTGCAAGTGTACAGGGCTTGACTTAGGGCGGGTGATCTCCCTCTGCCTTCTTCTCTTCTGGGCGATCGGGGGACATTGACTCTGCGCCGCGTGCGCCTCACACGTGCAGGCCTCATGACTCTGATACACGAAAAGGCTGCTGCTGCGGCCACGGCTGGTATGCCCTTCTTAAAAAGCGTCAATGCCTAGCTACGCTTTGCCTTACTGATATGTGTTATCTATTTTATTGCATGATGACTGGTGGTTTTTGATTGCCCTGAAGCCCGGGGTCAATCGAAATCTGTATTCTATTCAAGAAGGATTCTTGAGTTGTTAGTTTTCTCGACTTCTCACCTACTCACTAATTGCAGAGCCCGGTGACTCTTAGTCTCTTTTAGTCTCTCTTTATCATTCCTTCTGTCTTTCGCTGTTGTGCTCTCCAGCTTTAAACGCTTGTGAGACGTCCTAACTCTTGAACTTACGAGTTGCGTTCTATCGATTCCGATATTGATCACAGCTGCGTGGAAGTGTGGATATGCCATATTTGGTCCACCATCATCGCGAGCATCATCGACGACGCCACTCCTGGCCTTATTGTGGTGGTGGAGCACCGCACCAGCCGCTGGGGCGAAATTGGGTGGTTTTCCAGTCTGCACACCAGCAGCAGCTACAGGACCATTACCAGCAGCAGCAGCAGCAGCAGCAACAAAAGTCCTACCAGCAACTCCTCGAACAGCATTTCCTCGTCCCCGTTGGGTCGGAAGACTTACTTGAGGACGATGCGGCGTCCGCGGGGATTGGGCCCTCGCTGACGAGGACGAGGGCTATGCCAGCCGTGGCATCGAATGCTCGGCCTCGCCGGTGGTGGTCGTCGTGGTGGTCGTCCTCCGCGCGAGGGGGTTCCTCGCCGCGGATCGATCATGCGGCCCCTAGTGGACATGGGGGATCGTTTAGGAAGATGGTGCGTCCGCCGTTGGATAAGGCGAAGTCGTTGTTCGTAATGCCCACAACGACGAACCAGTATCCGGTCGGCGGTGGAGAGGAAGTACTCTTTACTTCGTACTTGGTGCCCTCGCCGCCGAGTTCGCAGCGTGCTTGGGGGTTAGGCGCTGCTGGGCAGGTGGACCCAACTCCTGGAGGGTTGTTGTCGGTGCCGGTAGTGGACCTTGCAGGTGGTCGTGGTGGTCGGCGGGGGCGAGCAATGGATCTGCTGGCGGAGAGGAATCATCGGCGGTGTCATTCGGAGCAGCCGCGGTCTTGGAAACGGCCGAGCGCGAGCTTGTGGCCGCTTGAGGAAGAATGAGACGCTGCTGTATTAATTTTGGGGATGGTTTCAGGCTGTTCATTGCATGGTGTCGTTTGACCGGGGCTCTTCATTTATTTCAGGCTTTTGTGCTCGAGAGTGATGTGGGTTTTGTTTCTGCTTGTTTTTCTGCTTCTCATTTTCACCATGTTTTATTCTTCTATAATTGTTATTAGCATTATGCTTCGGGCGTCTGATATACATGGTATACGGGCATAGGTCATTTGCATGTTTGCTGGCATGAAGGACAGGATGTGCGGTCGAGCGGTCGGGTCATTCGCGTGGAATTTGCGGCATTGTGTTCAAGCGGGCGGTGATTGGGGACATGGGGACATGGACAAATAATAACTTGAATACTCAAAACTACTACTAGGCTTCTTGCAGCACATTCTTTGGTAGGAGCCCCCCTTGCAGAGTAATCTACCGCAGGGCAACCTCGCATCTTTTGCCTCGTATCAGTGCCCGAGACCGTGCATTTGGAACTGTCAAAGAGACAGACAGCAGACTGACAGGAACCCGGAACGACCGTGCCGAATTCACGCGGCATCTCCATGCCGTCGCGCTTGGCCCAGCTGAAGATGAGGTCATTGGGTCCGAGAAAGAGCCTCAAATACCCACTGGGAGTGGGGATGGGAGTCGGCGGTTTTGAGGTGTGAATGGGTGATTCGTCTACTCGGTGTAGTTAGTGGTTGTGGATCGCGGATGTTATCTTTGCGAGTTGACTCCTCGAGTGCCATAACATCGAGTTGCGCGGATGAATGTTTCCGCACAATTCGGGAGTAGTTGAGCTGGTGCTGGTTAATCTCTCATTGTCCTACGGAGTGTCAGTATCTGGACCAGGGGAACGTAGTCTACTGTGTTGTTGTTAAACGAAAACGAGGTATTTGTGATGGTCGAGCTGCTATTTAAAGCCCGCACACCTGGCGGGTGAGTTGGTCCGTGGAACGTTGTGAAACATCTGGCTCTAAATATTGCCCTATCACCCTCTCCACATCACCTATTTTCACTTCCTGTAAGAGTGTTTCCCCCTGAGATAATTCGACCTGGCGGAAATGGGGATGCTCGCGCACGGAACGGACGGAATCAATGGAAACTGAAATGGAAATGAAGATCCCCTCCCCCCCCCCTCCCCTCAAAAGGCTGAAGCGCTAACGACCGGACTATCAGCCCTAGTGAGCCCTACCATTCTGACTGTTGGTGCTTATTGGTTGGATTGTCCGGGTCGGGGGAGTGGGGTCCCAGTTGGCTTGTTCGACGGGGTGGGGGCGGATTTGCGCGTGATTTTGGGGTTGTGTTTGTGTTTGTGTTTGTGTTTGTGGTGAGACGGGAGAGGTGCTAGGTGCAGTGGTCTGGTCAGGTGGTCAGGTGGTCAGATGGGGGTTCTGTTCTGGAAGAATCCGATTCTAGGGTGGGTTTGGGATTGGTGGTCGATAACTGTATAGGACTACTAGGTACTAGGTACTAGGTACTAGGTAGGGAGATGCGATGAATGGATTGGGATGATGGTCTGGGTGTGTGAGTTGTCCACGTTTTTCTGGACTGGAAGGAACAGGTCTGCATGCCGAATACGAAGGGCTAAAGAATAGGCAGCGGTGAATTGGAGCCTCCTGACGGGGTCGACAGTGCTGGGCTGGCAGTGTGATTGGCACACCGGCCGACTCGTAGGGCAGAGGGGTGGGGATGCAGCAGGATCCTCACCGCTCCACTTGCACTTGGCTTGGTGAGTCAGTGAGCCCTATCGATGGAGCCTTTGCTGCTCGCTGGCGTCGCCCGATTCGCCAGCCCGCCTATGTCCGACACTAAAGGCTCTCCCGCTATGCCCCAGATGGGCCCCCGATTGCTGGTAGCGTCATCTAGTGTAGCCAAGTCGGCAGTCCGAAATTGGAATGAGATTGAGGGGTTAGATTTGAGGTGGTGGTGCATAAATACCTTCTCACTCCCTGGCTTCTGCCGGTTTGGAATTCCTGTTCTACATTTCTGTGTTTGCTCTAACATCTGAGTCGAGGGTTTGAGTTGAGTCAGGCTTTATTTATCTTCAAACAACTACAATCACAATTACCACCACCACCACCAGCACCACAACCAAAACCTTTGTCTCACACAAACACAAACCACACGCTACATCAACCAAAATGACCCCCTCAAGAGCCACACAGGTCCACGACGACCACACCCACACCCACAAGCGCACCTCCTCCTCCTCCGCCTACTCCCGCAAGAGCACCGAGGACTACCGCCGCTACAGCGGCACCGTCAACCACTGCGGCCGTCACTCGAACGACTGGCTCTTCGGCGGCTTCAGTCTGCGCGACACCGTGCGCGGCGGTGTCGACCGCCTGCTGCACAACCACCACACCAAGGATTGAATCTCAGCCGATCACAACCAACACCAAAACCAAAAACACAAACACCCCCAGAAACCACGATCTCTAGATCCTCTTCTCCCAAAGGGTTTCTCATTCCGAAGACTCTTCCGATCGAAGTCAAGGGTCCCTCCACTGCCACTGCAAGGACAGTCGGGGGTTGGCTCGCCCTGCTTGGCGGAACATCATGGAGGCAGAAAGGCCGCCTTACGATCTTCGTCTTCGTTTTCTTCCTCGTCTTCATCTTCATATTCTGGTGAGATGGGTTCGGAGCGGTTCATCTACCGTTGATGGGCTTTGAGGTGCGAGCATATCACTTCATATGAATGAGAGCAGTGTGGAGGAACGTGATGGATTGAGTCCCGCCTGAGACAAGGGGACTGTTTCTTTCCTCGCGGATTGAGAATGGAGGATGTGCCAGTGTCCGGAGCCTATCGTTGGGCTTAGTGACTTGGAAACTTGGCAGATACCTCGACTCGTTATGACTTCATGGAGCTTCCATACTCTGCTTGAGAGTTTGGCTCGCTTATGCCTGAAGGATGCTATGTGAATCTCCAGTGTCTAAGTTATGTTTCTGTTTGTCGATATAGACTATCTGCTAAAATTGAGTACGTATGTCGATATCGATAGTACTACCTAGTCACTGTAGTACTAGAAACCAGTGTCACCGCTTATCTTCTTAGATTCTCCCTCTAGCCCTATTTGCTAAGACACACCGGTCCAGATTTAGATGTTTCTGATCGTCCCTGTTGCTGAACATTGTACTCTGTATCTCATCTCCAATTCAAACCCAGAACTACGGCTCGTCGTCCATAGCTTGTATCAGTACTATACCCGCCCACATCAACACCCCGCTCTCGAATCTGCTCCTGAACTAAGAACCCTTCTTTGAAACTCCACTTTCGAGATGATTGACCCGCGACAACACCCACCAGTCTTTGATAATCATCTCGATCTAGATTAGACCTGGACACAAAGATGTCGCCCACCACGACTGTTCATGCTTATTACAATATCCTGGGGATTGCCCCGGGTGCAGAGTCTCATGCTATCAAGTCCGATTGCAAGAAGATGGGCTCTGGCCAAGCATCCCGATCGGAGGCGTGTGCCCAAGGCGACAGCGGAGTTCCAACTCGTAAGCGGTGGCCGCTACCTAGGAACGCCTGTTCGAGGCTTGAGGCATTAAACGCCGTTACGATCCAGCTTAGGGAGGCTCACGAGCAGCTATCTGATGTCGGGAAACGTCGCGAATACGACAAGTTGTATCGAACGAGAATAGGCCCTGAAAGACTCAAGAATCAGCAACAAGCAGACCTTGACCGGCGACTCCAGCAGCTTGAGGACTGGCGCAAAGCGCTTCAGACCTTGCGATACAACGCACGCACGGATCTGGTTCGACTGCGCGTGGAGCTGGACCAGCCTCAAAGGACAGAAAGCGCTCATCCCCCATGACAAGGCGCAAGAAGAGACCTGGTGGCGGTACCTCTCTGCTCATTCAAGCCCGGGAACGGCGCAGACAATACGCGACAGCTGCATCGGCGAGGTGATCGCCTAGTCGATGTGATCGGGAAACGACGGACGAAGGAGTTGTGCATCGACCGCCAATACGAGGAGGTGCGGGCTCTGGAGAAAGGATTGGAGTCCATTTCTTCGGCCAGCGGGGAAGATTCGAGCAGAGATGAGAAGGATGGAGGACGAGTGGAGGGTTTGGATACTCGCGCAGGCAGTGGAAAAAGTACCTTGCGGAATTGAGGAGGAGAGGGGGAACGCGCTGCTTGGGGCGCGGCCGTCGACTATCCAGCCGGACTTCGGAAGCGGGAAATGGATATCGCTATCATCCAGGAGCATGGGTGGATCCATGGTCAACTCGATATGTGGGGGTTTCTGGGACTATCCTAACACCGCGTAATCGATCGCCATGGAAGCTACGTTGCAACTACAGGAGTTTTCAGACGAGTTTACATGCAGTGATCGGAAATCATGGAAACCGTGGGCATCGATTCCAATGTGTATCTATGCGACTTCCAGTTCCAAGCCTTGACTAGTCCTAGGGAGTATGCGGGCTCTTTACTGGTATGAATTGAGTTCCTTATAAGCCTTGTCGGCGTTTACCTAGTAGTCTTCATAAAAGTATGCAAGCTTTGGTGATAAGGTTGATAAGAGGAACTTAATGAACCGGACACAAGGGCGGGATTCCCTGGTTCAAGAGGAGATGAGATAGATCCAGGAATGTGCTTGATGGAGGTTCATTAATGCAAGCATCCACAGCACAGAAAGGCAAGCCAGATATAGGAAGGACCATTCGGAAACACCGGCATCTACTCAGTATCTCTAAAGCACCCTTGCGGTAACGAGGGTGTTTACTATCGATAACACAGCAGATTGATTGCTGTACTTAATCATAGAAGAAGGAAGAGGGTCCGCAAGAAGGACTTGGTATGGGAAGCATGCGAGCCTTTTTGACGTGTTGTCGCGTTGCACTGGAATGCATGCAGATCTTGGGTCATCGGGATGGGATCGGAATGAAGGAATGCAGGGGTTGGTGGGGGGAGGGGTTCTCGAGGGGCTTGTTGGTGCTTCGAGTGGATGCGAAACGGGATGTGTGTGACTGTGGTTGTGATGCTTCTTGGTTGGTGGTTCTGGTCATTGAGTTGTTTGATATGGGTGGGAGAAGGTGTAGCTGGAGGTGATGGGGCTGGAAAAGAGAGGAGTATGCTTTGCTGATGCCGGGATATAAAGTGCCATCGGCTATGGAGAAAAGAAAAGAACCTCATAAAAGCCCGGGGAAATGCTATCAGTCTTATGTGCAACTGCCTTTAATTGTGCATCTGCTACACTGTTTCTTCCAACCGAATTAATGATTAAGATCTAATAATGACTGGCTTCTTGTATCTGGGGCCATGCCCGGGGCATATCCTCTCATAGACTTTGCAACAGAAAGCTCCACACTGCTGGCAGTCACAGCAAGCTGCTTCTCTCAGCTGAATTGATTTGGAAATAGTGCCAACGGGAAAGGAAGAAAGAGCTCATGACTCATAATCCATTTCGAAAATTCGCGATCAACACGATGGAGCAAACGGTAAGATGGGGAGTTCCTGAGTTCATGTTCAAGCAGCCTGCCATGCTGCGATGTCTGCCGCCGTGATGTCAATGTTCTCCGACATCAGGCTCTGTAGCTTGACGACTTGTGCAGGCGCTTTTACTCAGTTAGTTACAGGCAACCTGGGTCAAAAGCCGGTATACGTACTTGGACGCGGAGGTACAGCACCCGCTTGTACCGTGATAATTCCAGAATCAACATACTCCCTCGTAGATACACCATTGGACGAGGCAGCTCCGAGCATGACCCGCATCCTGAACCTCCCAGTCTGAGTGAACTTGAGAGGCCCGAACCGCGCATAACCGCTGGTCGTATTCCCACTGCTGCTGCGCACACTGGACGTAAGAACTCCCGTAAGCCCTGGGGCAGGGGAAGTCCCGGCTTCGTTCCTGAGCGATATATGCGCAACTAGCTGCTGTGTAGGGGCTCTCGGAGCTCCTACTGGTCTCACAACAACAACCACGGGTAATGATATGGAAACCCCAGGGGAGACAGCAGTCGGAGGCGCGACCTCGAAATTGATTCCATACTCGCGACTAGAGCCCCCAGCGTCTGCACCTGCGTTGCCTAGAACCATGGTTGTTTCAAGATTGGAGACGAAGCGCGGTCTCTATGATAGACCGATGAGATAAAAGATGGAATGCTCTGTAGTCGCTCAACAATGCAAGGGTTGCGATTCAACCCAAACTCGATGGAACGATGAACTCTTTGTGAGAGGTACAAGACTGTGATTTTGGGAGAGTTCTGTATGTTCAGTTGGCATTCATAGAATCTGTGGATGAGGAAAAGAAGCATCGACGAGAAGGCATTCCGAGCCCTTCATATATGCGACCCTTGAGCCTACGAATCGAGAAACTAGGGTGCAATATTGACCGTATCAATCCGGGCCAGGTAAGTGCTCACCGTGTCAATGGATCTTTGCCACCACGATGGGATCAATCTCGCTCAGACACTTGAAGGTCTAGTCCGGCAGATCTGCATCGTGAAGTCTTTTGACCCCTGTTATGCAGGAGACTGAGAGGTTATTAGAAGTTAGGCATAGAATAAAGCATGCACGATCCAGAGAAAAGAGGGCGCCTGCATCATCATTACCCACTCACCTGTGAGATCCATTGCTTTGACTCAACCATTTTACTTTTTCTGACCCTGCATCGAGTCTAGTTGCTTTTGTTGCCCCATCCGTAAGCGCAAACCTAGAAAGCTAGAGGCACAGGTTAGCGTGACAAAAGGAGCGCCAGAGCGCCAACAGAGACAACTGAATTATCACTATTATCCTATTTCTATCTAGATGGAGACGAAGGATGCCAGTGAGTGGCATTCCTGGAAGGAACCCCCATGGCACATCGTCTGCAATTGGAGACGTCAGATCGCGTACCGAGCGACTGCATGCCAGGGGAGATGAATGTGAAGCTTAACCTGACTAAACAACTAGACCCGAGATTGATCGACTAGTCACGAACTATGGTTCGTCGCAGTCTTTCTTTTTCCGCCTTCCTTCCATCTGAAGATGACCTCAGTTGACCTCCCGACTCGAGTACCCTTCACTTTCCACCTCTTTCCCCGCCTCCCTTCCAGTCAATCTTCCTTTCCTCCGTTGAAAGTCCGAGAGTCAGAAAGTTGATCACATCTGCATTTGTCGCCTTGCGGCTAGAGACCATTCTACCCAAGCACTCTCGAGGCCTTGTGATCGTCAAGGTACCGAAGCCACGTTTTGACAGCTTCAAATGTGACCTCCCGGGCGATCTTCACCTTCACATCCCCAGCAACACAGCAACACAGCAACACACCACCACACCACCAGACCTAGTCAAGCTGGTCACTCTGAACAAGCATCTCTTACTAAGCTTATAAGCCTACACTGCTTCCGTGTTTAGCAAATTATGGCGGTCGAACTGAAGTCTCAATTCGGAGTTATCACCCAGCTTGGACAGTACATCGAATGCAATTGAACCCAGTGGAATATGCCACAGACCGAAGCTAGTAGGGATGATCTTCTCATATCCGCCCTGATAAATCAAGCCAATATTGGTGACAGAAGAAGGAAAAGGAGGGGGGAAGCCACAGTCAATTCAAGGGAGACTTCGCCACACTACATGCCTCTTTGGGTCAAGGGTGATCGGCCAGCCACAGCTCACCTCAGCCTCAGTATGGCGGAAATCGTGCATTGCGCAGATCAAAAATAATAGCCCTGGTAGAGGAGATGTTACAAGCCCCACTCTAACGCTGCTGGCTCTTCCCCGCTACTCCGTCCGGATAACTTCTCCTCTTCTTCTCCATCACGGTACTTCTGTGGTCGGACCAACGGGTCATTATCCTTCGGCTTTTGTTGAGACATAGAGGGCCTATTGAGCATGTAACCTAATTGCATGAAACTCAATAGTTGAGAGCCCATCCACCTTGCAATGCAGGCTAACGTTCATGACTTCGCGCTCTCTACATCCGGAGTCAGCCAAGCACGGTGCGCTAAGATGTGCACCCACACACACACACACACACACACACACACACACACACATGGTGGAGTCATTCGATTACACGGATAACGATGCATCATTTGGCGAGGACGGAGAACATCACCACGGTACTGCGCTGCCGCTAGTACAGTACTTTTGGTTTTGAAGGATGCAATCGTCGATTAGACCGCAGTATGGATGACGACATCCTTGGACTGCTGAAACAGGGCAGGGCGGTCAAATTCCGCATCTGCGTTGCTCACGTAGAGCAATGGAACTGATGGCATTGTGACTGCTCTATATTGAGTCTCGCTGGTGACTCTATGAGAGAATACTGTGTTATCAAAACACGAAAGATACGAGCAAGTTACTTGTCTCGTAAGCGGAGAACACCAACATGAAAGGAGAAGAGAGGACACTTCTTGACACTAGAGACCTCGTCATCAACGCCACAATTCTTGCTTTTTCCCAGATACCAGGACTCAGCCCAGTACTTTGACCTGCAATGTAATGCGAGATGATCGGAAGTACTGATTGAGTTCTAGTTCCATGCGCGGACGGTGTTGACCGTCCGAGGTCGAGGTACGCTCATTCCTCTTTGGGCTAGAAACGTGGTCCATCAGCCACAGATGGCTTACCGAGGATCAACGGCTCTAATTGTGGCGGTGAACAGCGTGTCACTCAGTACAAACCGGTGGAGTCCTTGCATCATGGATCCCAATAGCCCTTCCAGTGTCCCTCTATACATTGATAAACAAACACCTCTCGTGGACCTTCGAAAGCTAAACTGTGACCCACAGTGAGCTACCATGTGATTGTCACGAGGGGCGATCCTTGGCCGAATGAGGGTGTCTGGTACGGTCACTCTTCGGCTTCTGCTTGATGGCAAATCCCCGAGCACACACCCACGACGATGTCCGCAACCAGAACTCAGGATGCACTAGCTTTCTTTCTTTTCTTTTCTCCCCCTCTCTCTTTGTTTCTATGCTTCTCTCTACCTTGTGCAGCTTGAACCACTCTTTTGAGAACCCCATCCCGGCACCATCAACGATTCTATGATGAATTGGGCTTGGTTGGCCTGGCGAATAGGAATTGCACGGAAGCTCGGTTTAGGGAAGCTCGACTGAGAAAGTGTCTATCTCAGGTCGAGCCCTCAACGGAGCTAGCACCTGCGAGTGGGAAGAATTCATTCTCTGACCTGCTCTGGAAGGCGTCAGGGTTGTTTCAGCCGATCCTGGCAATCCGAAGTCTATGTGCGTATCATGGACGATCATACATCTAGTCGATAAAAGTCCGCTTCGGCCGAGCATTAGCAAGGTTCAACAGCTAGGCGGGGCGTAAGATTACACAACAAAGGTACCATGCACCGATCCCAGATATCACAGTTTTTGACCCTGTGAACAACCTTCAGCTAGCTGTGGCTTGCCTGTCTGACTGACTGATTGCCCTCCACGATTGATCTACGTGCTTCTGCTATTCTGCGTTCCTACTCTGAGTTGGTCACAGTAAATACGAATAGCCTTTAAATCCGCCTACGAAGAAGCAAGTATGCATTGCAAAGTTTGAGATCGATCTGAAGATCCGTTCGACATGCAGATGACACGATTTGTTCACCTGCGATCGACTTGAAGAGGTAAATAAGTCCGCAGAGTGGCCAGATATCACTTCAGACGTTCTCATTTGTTTGATGGAAACAAAGGGAGAAAAGCCGGCTTTGTTTTCCGTTCCCGCGCAGGTGGCGTAGAGACTTGACTTTAGACATGTTTCCATTGACCGCTTGGACCTTTCAGGCTACATTCCTGTGCACGACCACTCATTCTTCTTGGATCATGAGATGCACCGTGCGAATTCGATGTTGAAGTCCTCATCACTCTTTCTGTTCTTGTGGGCTAACCATTGGCAAGATGATCGACCGCCAAGTCAGCGGCAGCAGCGAGCTGACACAAAGCCATCAGCCTCTCACACTCAGATACGAGTCTGACTAGTTGAAGCAACACGCTGTGGCGTCTGCAGCCCTGGATCGGAAGCTCTTTAGAATCCCCCGCTGCCAACCAGAACCTGGATATGCGATTCGCAAGATTGTCACATATGTCTTTGTCATACATGTGTACGAGCGTCGCGGCCCTGCGCAATCCAGCAACTTCAGGATCCACCCCATCGTCTCAGGTCAAAGAACTTCAACTCCACTCGGAAGCCCTGATCAAGGAAGTCCTGGCATCGCGGCTGTCCTTGCTTTCTAAGAATGATTATGACTACAATAGGTACTACATACGAGATAGTAGCGTATAGATCATTGTGGAGACCTCAAGACAAACTGTCTCGGACCGGGATTCAAAGTTGCCGCATGGATCAATGTGAGAACTAGGCCGGATGCAAATGCCGCAGTCCATGTGGAGTCCTGCCCTTCTCGAGCTTAGTCTACTACTTAGTTGCCGAACCTTGCTTTTTTGACATGGAAAACAAGGAAAATCGGTTGCAAGGAGGGGTCCCCTTCTAGGAGGATTCAATGTATTCAATAATAGATTGAGACCGACGTAATCTCGGGCCCCCGGAGTGATTTTATCCCATTGTGGAGCGGGAATGTCGCCGAGGGAGAGACGGAGGATAGAGAATCTGAGCGAACAGAAAAAAGATCGTGGTAAGGCTCGAGAGGTACTTCTGTCGATGGCTGTCAGCGAAAATGAAATGAGGCGTAATAGTGAGGCGAGAGACCGCTGCTTCCTGTACTTGGAGAACGGTCACCTGACATGTCCCCTGCACTTGAACCTCTGTAGCAACAGTCCTGGCCACTGTCTGATATACGATGAAGACGAGCTTGGTGTCAGACTGCGCACTGTCAGGAGTACCTCTTAGCATATGAGACAACATGGAGGAAGGGGGTTTGTCACTCATCGCCGCTCATGCAATGACTTCCGAACGGATCGATCTGGCTGCTCTTGGACTGATGCAGAAGTGGAGCGAGTGATGAGAATCTCAACGAGTTTCTCGGTTCTGAGATCCTTCATTCCTCGCATTGTGTGATGTGTGATAGCTTTGTTCTTCTCGGAACAATTGAAGAGTCTCTGGCGATGTCGAGACTCATAGCTGCATATCGAATGTAAGGCCATAACCGCTCGTGGAGGCTATATTCATAAACCAAAATATGAAGTCAAAAGCTGTCAGTCAGCTCCAAAGCCTCTGAGAGATTCTGCGTGCCACTATGATGCGTTGAATCGTTGCCGCTCGTGTTGTGTAGAGCTTTCGACTGTGAAGGCTACAGATTTGAACATAACCTGGATAGCTTGTCCAGAATGAGCAGTGTGTGAGAAGGAGCTTTGCATCAAGCCTTCAAGCTCAGGAATTGCCTCAAAACCATTTTGCAGGACCTTTTGGGAGTCCTCCTCGAATAAATTATACGAAGGCTAGGTAACTGACCCGGTTTGCCCGGCAGGGAAGGTGACGGAGCTCACCTCCATACCCGCCGCCATGCCTTCCTTCCTCTACGACGAGGCCTCTCTATCACACTCAAATCAAACACCAATGAAGTGGCTGAGGAGAAACTCACTTCCAACGGTGCAAGCAATAGTATTCTTATCAGAATGACTGCCTTGCTACGCTCCTTGCACGCGTCCGATGGCACCCGTCCTTATACAACCATATCATGGTCCCTTCCTCTCCCACCCACCGCGAAGCATCGACCCGGCTCCTATGACACGCCCCAAGCACTTCAGTCTCCGCGTTCTGCTGCAACTATTTGCCATCACGATCTCCATCTTCGTCCTCGCGGTGCTCTTCTGGAAGCTCGGGAGATTCTTCCGCCACTTCACCCAGGCCAAAGTCACCCAGCGCGGCAACGCGACCACCGCCCGTTACGCCCGCACCTGGTACGGCTGGGTGCCAGCGGAGCGACACGTGGGACTCAAGAAGTTCGTTCGAGTCTGTTTCGATAAGTTCGGCAGGTGGACGGCGTGGCGTTCGTCGAACCAGGACTATAGCTGGGTGTGGTGGGATCCGGGGCAGCGGGAGCTGAACAAATACCGAAAGACGAGACGGCCGTTGCAGTGGTTGCCTCGTTGGGTCAGGAGTTACAGCTTCACGACCGCCGACACCATCTGGAATCCGAGGCCCGCTGACAATGCTGGTGTCGTCGCTGCGCCGAGTAGCAGTCGTCCGTCGCCGTCGTTCCGCATGGCCGGAGCCCTTTCTTCTTGTCATACCCTGAAACGCGTGGTGGGAAATTGGCACACGGTGTCAAGGACGAGTATCTGCGCGCAGGTCTCTATCAAGGTCTATCTCCAGGATGGATGTCGCGGAGCAGTGACGCCGTCTGAAGCTCCCGCACGAGCTTGGGATGGGTTCATGAACACAACCGGAGAACTACGCAGGCCAACCCGCTTTCAGATCGAGGCGCGAAGAACAATGACATTAGAGCATTCATTTTGCTCTTCCCAAGTCATTCCGTATCCGCGGAATGTTCAAACTATCGCTCCAAGATTGTCGCGAAGTCGCTCTCTTCCATGCTTCAAAACTGTGACAGAGAGCCTCAGGAGACAGGACGGCCTCAAGACACACTGGACCCGCCGTCAGATCAGTCCTGATAGTAACTCACAGTTCAAGCATAAGCCTCGCTGCTCGCGACCGAACCACGTACGCTGCACGCAAATGGGTAACCTCACAGCCCATGATGGATCTCTTTGCCAACCTGTCCGTGTCGAAAGACTTGACAGACTGACGGGACTTCTGTCAGATACCAGTCCTGTCCCTGGATTGTGTGACATAAAAAGACAGTGGAGTGGCCAAATATCGTCTTCGAGGTGGAGCGCTTTACCCCTTGAAAGCAGAAGGCGCAGTGCTGCCGCGAATGCTACGCCTCTTCGACATACCGCGTTCAATTCTGACATCGCGAGACGATTTTCTGAGACGGTATACTCTGAAGAACTCTTCCACAAAGAAAGAAACGTTCTGTCCTTGCGAAGCCTTAGAGCTGGAATAAACCAAAGCTTTTCGGGACACTACTTGCCAATTGGACCGAAAGGTTTAGGGCATGAGCAGAGCTCACATGAAGGCTTTGCATCTCGCCAAAAGGCAAAGATGGCAGACCCTAACGTGGATAAACCCAAAGTCTCTGGCATTGAACTGGGAGATTGTGACTTACGGTTGATAGCTGACTTAGACCGAAGGCTTGAGTGGCTCTCCAACCAGCTCATCCCCGGACGCAGACCGTATCATTTTGCCTTGCTTGCCAATCACTGGCTGAATCCAGAGACATGGATCGTCATTGACCCTCCGACTCGAATCTCTATTGATGCTAGACGCCGACTTGGGGATCCAAGATTCAACGACCCATACCCAGCCGTTGACTGGACCCCGAAGCCGAAGTACCCCAAGCTGCAACGCAGAACTGCCAATGTCCCGAAGATCAACTCCTGGAGAGCAGCTGTAAACCGAAACAGACGAGCGGGTGGGTTGGACGACATCATCAAAGGTGTCGAGCTATTTGAGGGGTCAGACGACGCACCGCCGGATGGCAAGGTTGACCCTGCGTGCTGGATACTTCGGAAACCGCCTCAAGGGTTTAGCATGTCCTCTCGCCAGGGGACCGTATTCTATGAAGGAGGAGCCGGCTGGCAAGAGACGCTAGATGACTGGCAAAAAGTTCGCCGTGGCTATCGAATCCGGAAGGCAATTCACGAGGGAAGGGCAAACCGGAGACGAGCAAAAGAAATTGCGCTTGGTATTACGAGATACTATCGACTAGGCATTTCCAAAATCTCCTGATATCTGCCTACTCGCGGGCAACAACATAATCCAGGGACCAGTCAGTGGCGTCACTTTGACACAGGGAATGGTGACGGCAACTCTTGCGAATGCGGGGACAGGGACGAGAAGGGCAATGTATGGGAAAAGTGATCAAACCCGAGGCACTTTCTTGCCATATTCTTATTTCCAAGCTGTCTCTCTTTGATATGACTATATGTCCACCTATCTTTACACTGTCGAGAAAATACCGAACACACAGCTCAATCGGGCGATGCGAACATAATGGATGTACGGTATCAGGCGAGAAAAAATTGAACATTGTGAATATCAAGGAATACCAATGCAGTTATGATGTGTCATCTCCCAGTTGCCAAAAAAAGATAAAAACTCCGATAGTCGCCCTTCCCCGTGCTCCGTCTTCCTCAACTCGAAAGCCTCTTTATCGGAAAGGGGTGATCCACATGGACGGTGGTGGAATGTGATGGTGTATAATACAGCGTAAAGACTCGAACTCGTTGTGTGCGAGACAGGAGTTCGGTAGTAAGGGGTGCTTGTTTCTCGTGCGGATGCTACGCAATAATCCAGCGTGCGAGCGAAAGGACGGGCTTCGTTTAGAAACCAGGGGGGTTGACTCTCTGACTGACTCGCGTCCACTTGGGCAGCTCTGTTGATTAGGGTCATGCATGTTAGCTTGGGTACTTTTCTTCCCTTGGCCTCCTTTCTTCTTTTGCCGCCCGGACGTGTCGATCCAATCCATGGGCAGCTCGAGCGAGGGCCTGGGCGGGCGGAAAACTCACTGTGAATCCCCTTCCGGTACTTCTTCTCCTTCTTGTCGAAGATGGTGTACTTGTCCTTGGGCAGCATCTCCTCCTCGCGCGGCATCTCGTTGAACCACCGGGTCACGGGCTTGGCCGTCTGGCCGCTCCGGGCCAGCGCGGCGCTCACGGTGTCCACGACGCGGTCGACGGCGCGGAGCCGCTTCCGCTGTCTGGCTTTCTGGGGCGCGGAGATGCGCCAGGGGATCTTCCTGTTGCGAGAGGATTGGGATTAGTGATTGCTGGATTTGGGGTGGGGAGGGGGCAGCTATCGTCGTAGGAAGGATAGGAAGAAGACGGAGAGGCACGGAGAGTGCGGAGGTCGATGGGGGGGAAGGAGCGTCTCCAAACCAGTGCGAACTTACCAGAGAAGACCCGAGAAGAGCGGCGATGAGGGTTTGAACATCATCTTGAATAAAGCGTCACACACACACACCGAGTTGAACAACAGGGGGGGGGGGGGGAATCGCGTTGAAAGCAGAATGCGGGTTTGGAGGTGGAGGAGCGGACGAAAATCCCGTCGAGGTTTGGGAAGTTGGTCCGTGCCCGCTCTTCACCTCCGCGGGACCGACGCTTCTCTCTCTGTCTCTCTCTCTCTCTCTCTCTTTCCCCTCGATTTGGTTTTCGCCCAATGAAGGCGCTACTTGTTCGCACGCTGTCGGTTTTCGGGGTTTCTCCCCTTTTTTGCGTCATTTAGATTATTGATCTCTTTATCTTTTGGGTTTTATCGTTTTTTTTCCCCTGGTAGTATCGATCACTTGGATGCGGGCGCGCTTGAACCCGTGAAAGGCGAAACGACTCCGAATTTATACACACCGTACAAATGTCGCGCTCGACGACGACGGACGCCGGCGCAACGGCGGAGGCCCCCTCGCTCCCATGGAGGACTCTGTCCGCCACGACCATGCTCGGGGTCGCATCGCTGTGCCGGTCGTTTCTGTACGTGTGCAGCAAGCCAGAGGTATACGGCTTGGAGCCATTTTTGGAGTTGCTCGATTCGAGACGCGATCCGGCCCAGAGGACACGAGGGTTGTTAACAGGTAATTTCTCATCCTGGATCTTGTCGTTCGCGGGGTTGCGCCTAGGTTGTGAACAGGATTGACTGACATTTTCGTCATTTGCGATTAGTTTCGAACCATACTAGCGTGTACGTGCGTACAAATGCGCCTTGAGGTCCGAGGCGGTTCCGATTTACTTTTCACAACGGAGATGGCTGATCATGGTCGCGACGCGACACTCCGAGCAGGATGGATGACCCGATTATGTGGGGGTTTCTTCCGATGCGGTACTGGCTGACCCTTTCCTCGTCGAATAAACGCTGGGGATTTGGAAGCCACGATATCTGCTACCAGACCAGGTATGCGCCCTTGGGCATTCCCACCGAGGTTAACTATGGCAAGGGTGGTGGGCTAATCTGAGGGTTCCGGTAAAAGACCCCTGGCGCTGTTTTTTACAATGGGCCAGGTCCTTCCCACCCACCGACTCGCCCATTCGCCACACGGTGGTCTGGCACAACCCGTTGTCACCCAGGCGATCCGATTGCTGTCGAAAGGCCCATTCGCCGCCGACCCCCATCTCGCCCGCCCCGAGCGGCAATCGTGGAGCTTGCAGAATGTCTGCGTCGACCCCTTCTCGGATCTCCCGATGGCGTTCACGACCGACGGTCACGATTCCCACCTGTCCCCGTCCTCCTTCGCCTGCAACTCCTATTCCTGGTTCCACATCTTCCCCGAGGGCATGATCCACCAGGCGCCGAACAAGACAATGCGATATTTCAAGTGGGGGGTCGCCCGGCTCATCCTCGAGGCCAGTGAATGTCCCGATGTTGTGCCCATCTGGCTGGAGGGTCTCGACCAGGTCATGCACGAGAGCCGCGAGTTCCCGCGCTTCCTGCCTCGGGTCGGCAAGGAGGTCAGCATCACGTTCGGAAAGAAGGTCGATACAGAAGCCGTCTTCGGCGAATCGCGGAGGAAGTGGCAGCAGATCAGGGCCAAGGCGGAGCGCACATCGCCCGACGCCCGCGACCTCCCGCTCGGAGTGCTGAATGACGAGCTCCTGTACGGGCCGGAGGCGGTCGAGCTGCGCAAGGAGGTGACCATGAAGGTTCGGAACCTGGTTCTCGAGGTGCGGCGGTCTCGAGGCCACTCGGATGAAGACCCCAAGGCGGGTCTCGCGGAAACGTGGATTCGAGAAGGTCCCAGTCGGGAGGGGAAGAAGTTGGATGAGTCTTGGGTGCGCGATCTATGAAGCGTCTACCGCGGACACGCCAATGCCATATTTTATTCGGTGTAAATTAGAGCATATTCACTTGATAGACGAGGTGTACTGTACAGATCCACAATCAAAACATACTTGGCCATCACAGTCCGTGTCCCAGTCAGCCAATCGAGGCTGTGTCGGGCCAGGCCCACAGGTTGTGAGTCAAATCGACTCATTGTTCCTTCCAGCCTTGCTTCCGCTTACAGCGAAGGTAATCAATTGTAACTCCGCTCCGCAACTTAACTGCGACCCGCCGACGTCAATCGTTTCCACCTCCTGCTCTTCATTTCATTCCCACTCCCACTCCATGCCACCCACCACCATAACTATCCCCTATGCCCAAGAAGTTCAAGAAGAATGCCTATGCGAAGCCAGCGAGTACAGCCCATCACACACTGGCCTCCGGCGGTTCCCGCACCAAAGACCATGATCGCCTCCGCCCCTCGTCCACCTCCGAGCAACAGCAACAGCAACAACAACAATCACAGCCCTCCGTGAACGAGCTGATCGACCACCTCCGCCGCACCCAAGTCACACGAACCCCCGACCAAAGACCCGAAAACTCCTATCAGTTCGTGGTCCCCCGCTCGGTCCACCCGTCGCTGCGCAATCTCCTCGAGCTCCCCGAGACCCCGCCCCCGCGCCCGCGGCCAGGCTCGCGCCGCCACGCCGTCGTCGGCGCACGACGGGGCACGCGACGAACCGCCGCCGGACCCCCCGCCCCTCAGAGCTGGCTCGTGGGGAACTACGGCCGCGAGGAAGAGAATCAGAAAGTGGACGACGATGGCGCCGCGACGGAGACCCGCACCATCTACCGACTGGAGGGGCGCCTGCCCGGGACGACGTTCCCCGCCCGAGGGAGCCTGCAGCATACTGTGCTGAAGTCCATGGCGCTCTACTGGGCGTGGCATCTCGAGTACGACGGGCCGTTTCTCGCGGACCTGCCGAATCATGTCAAGGTCCGACTGCTCAGTTATCTCGGTGTGTACACCCGGGACTATCAGATCCCGCCGGGGTTGGGGCTGCGGCCGTTGTTCCCTCGCGCTCAGCATCAGCAGCAGCAGCAGCAGCAGCAGTTGGATGATGACTTCGCGGCCGCCCATGCGCACAGCAGTGAGGCAGGCGCAGCGCACGAGAACGACGACGAAATCACCCGCCTCGATCTCAGCAGCGCCCTAGGCCGCTGGCTCACGCTCAAGCAAATCTCCAGCGAACTGCTCCTCACGACCAAGCAATCCACTCAAGCCATCCAACCTACCCCCAACGAGCCAGCCTCCGCCTCCACCGTCCCATCCTCCTGGGAAGACGAATCCGACGACCACCAACTCCCACCCCCACCCCCACAACCCCAACCCAGTCCATCCACACCCCTACCAACAACCCTGCTGCGCACCCCGCGCTTCACCAACCTCCGGTACCTCTCCCTAGCCCACCCGACCCCGGCCTCCGCGAACTGGAACCACCTGATCCCGCTCCTCGCGCGTCTCACGCGCATCACCCACCTCTCGCTGGCCCACTGGCCCCTCCCGACCGCCACTCCGCACGCCCGCACCGCCACCGTCCGCCACCCGGCCCACCGCGCCCTCACCTTCGCCTACGGCGGCACGGACGCCTACGCCGCCGCCGAGAACAACTGGGCCGAGGTCGCGGGCCTCCTGCGCCGGCTGTCGCGCGCCACCTACTGCCTGAAGTGGCTGGATCTCGAGGGCTGCGGGGACTGGATCTCCGCCTTGAACTGGGTCGGCCACGGCCCCGACGGCGAGGTGTATCCCTCCGGTCCCGAGTGGAATGGCTCCTGGCGCGACGTCGAGTTCGTCCGGTTGGGGGCCGGGTGGGTCCCTTCGCTGGAGGGGGGTGATGATCCTGCTACTGGCCAGCAGCAGCAGCAGCAGCGCCAGCTAGATGGTGAAGGCGGCAGACCTGGTACCCTAGGGCAAGGTGGAGGTGGGGAGAGGAGAACCCTGGCTGCGTCGATGCATGCCCCCCCACCTCCTCCTTCGCTGGATGCTGACGGCGGCGATGGCGATGGTCTTCCCTGGGACGTCGAGGAGGAGAGGATCAAGTACCGGCGCTTGAAGGCGGTGCAGCGGTACCGCCAGATCGTCACGACGGCGAAGGAGGTGCAGAGGAACGTGCAGCGGGTCCGGAAGGAGGGCAAGGGGAAGTGGGTGACCTTCTCGTTTGGGTTGGAGGGGTTGGAGGACGATGCGTTGAAGAGGTTGCTTGGGCCCCGGTGGTTGGATCTGCTGCCTTGATCTTAGGCAGCGGGGGTATGATAATCTTGGACGAGGGTTCGAGGGGTGTACATTTCCGTATATACTGCGTAGAGCATGAGCAGACTCGGGTGTATAATGCGGGATCTATCCGAGGGTTGTCCTCTTGGGTAGGGTAGGTATGTATAGATCCATCGGGTGCCCGCTTTATGCTATACCCGCAAGGTAGACTATATAAAGCCGCAGCAGCAGTGGCAGCAATAGAAGACGTGTTTTCAGCCCCTCAGCTACGGCTACTCCAGACGGTATCACGATGACCACAATCCATGCATCAAGTGAAACTTTTCTTTTTATGAATCCAATCCCAAAGCTATGTACAATTCACAGTCCAGACCACACCCCGCCACTCATAACCCACGTCCAAGGAGGGAGATTACTTCCTCCCGCGGTTAAACGTCTTCAGCGGATCGACCTTCCGCCCACCACCACCAGGCTTCCTTCCGCCCTTGCCCTTGCCGCGATTCTTCTCGCGGGCCTTGCGGATGCGGTTCTCGCCGCCGACCTTCCGGAACCCGACGTAGCCGACCGTCTCGGAGGAGATGCCCTTCCGGCCCTTGGCGGGCATCAGATACTCGGGGATGTGCTTGAGATGGGGCTGGATGCGGGCGGCGCGGAGCTCGCCGTCGTGGCGGAGCTGGCGCAGCTCGTCGGGGTTCTCCTCGAAGTGGCGCTTGAGCTTCTCCGACTTGATCAGCTCCTGGCGGATCTCGCGGGCGCGGGCCTCCTGGACGGCGAGGCGGGTGATGGCGCGCAGGGCGTCGGTCATGCGGTACCGGAAGGCGTCGACCTGGGCCATCTCGAAGTGGTAGGGTTTGACCTCGTGGCCCAGCTTGGCCTGCCGCTTGACGATGCGCGCGACGACCGTCTCGTCGTGCTTGGCCGTCGGGAAGGAGGTCGGCTTGTGGCGGCCGTACTGGTCGGCGGGCACGACGAACGAGAGCGCCATCCCCGTCTTGCCGGCGCGGCCGGTGCGGCCGATCCGGTGCGTGTAGGACTTCGCCGTCGTGGGCAGGTCGAAGTTGAGCACGCACGCGACGTTCTGGAAGTCGATGCCGCGCGAGATGCCGTAGTCCTTGTCCTTGGTGGAGACTTTGCGGCGTTTGCTGTTCGTTTCGGGCGTGGCTTTCTTGCTCTTCTTGGTGGTGGTGGTGGTGGTGGTGTCTTCGACGTCCTCTTCGTCGTCGCTGGAGCCGACCAGTCCTTCCTCGTCTGCTTCGGCTGCGTCGGCAGTCGTGTCTTTCGTCTTTCTGGATTTCTTCGCGCCGAGAACCTCCTGGTCGTCGGCCGCGATGATGATATCGTACACGCCCTTGTTGAATTCCTGGACGACGTGGATCCGCGAGTTGACGGGCAGCTCGGAGTTGAGGACACAGCTCTTGATGCCGAATTGTTCGAGGAACAGCTTGACGCGGTAGCAGCGGTCGACATCCCCGACAAAGATGATCACCTTGCCCTTGATCAGCTGCAGCTTGAAGATGACGTAGGTGAGGAGGAACTTCTCGTCCTCGGCGCATCTAGACAGACGCAAACATTAGCAAACGGTGTGTCCACCCCAACATAAGATCTCCCCACACGACCACTAAACTAACCTGACAACAAACTGGCTAACCCCAGCCCCCTGCTCCTCCTTATCCTCCAGCTTCAACACGACCGGGTTCCGACAGAACAGGCCCTTCAGCGTATCCACCTCCGAGGTCAGCGTCGCACTCATGAGGAACGTCTGCACCCCGCGCGGGATCGCCTTGGCCAGCGCGTTGATGTCCTCGTCGTACCCGTACGACAGCACCAGATCCGCCTCGTCGATCACCAGGTGCGCCAGGTTGTCCAGCGACAGCGCCGAGTTGCCGAGGTTGGCGATCACGCGCGCGGGCGTCGACACCACCAGGTCCGGGTAGTCGGCCAGCAGCGTGCGCTGCACCGCGTCCGACACCTTCTGCGTCAGGTTCACCGACCGGATGTCCTTGCCGCAGAAGGCGGCGAACGTCGTCACCACCGTCTGCACTTGCTCCGCCAGCTCGCGGGTGGGGACGAGGATCAGGCCCGTCGTGGCTTTCAGGGAGGGGTCGGCCTAATCCATGAAGGTAGTTGGTCAGCTCCAGTCCAGAAGACGCGAAGACAATGTCCGGCATAAAACTCACAGCTTTCTTCTGAAGGATAGTCTGGAGGATAGGGAGGACGTAGGCGGCGGTCTTGCCGGAGCCGGTCTTAGCACGGGCTGGTGTTCATTGTCAGCTGAGTTGAGAATAATCGTACAAATTCGAAGAGTAACTCACCAAGGATGTCTTTTCCGGCGAGCGCCAGAGGGATGGCCTTGGCCTGGACCAGCGTCGGCTTGGTGAACTTCTCTTTGATCAGGGCTTGGCGCAATCGCGGATCCAGATTGAGGGTTTCGAAGTCGGCGTCTTTGACCTCGGGGGTAGTCTGGGTCTCGGTCTGGGTCTCGGAGGTGGTCTCGGCGCCCTCCGGGGAGGGCACGTCGTTGGCGTCCAACTTGCGTTTCATTGTGACAGACAGCACAGGAAGAACAAAAAGAATCGTGCGTGTCTTTTCGAGAGGGGAGTGTTTGGGAGGAATCGACGCTACGACTTGGGGAGAGTTTTCCTGGAGGGCGGCGGGCTGGGAAATTCTGTCGGGCGGTGAGATTTTCCGAGGCAGTATTTTTAGCGGGTCTCCACTCGCCAAGCTCCACTCTTATCATATCAGTCACTCACTCCATCTATACACTACGCAACTCTACGCAACTGGCATGGTCAAGGGATTGAGGTCGACGAGGCTCAAGTTTAGTGTATTACTCTCGATATAGACCCTAAACGGTTTTATTGAGTAATGAATTGGGCTCGACACAGTTCGCGCACATGCTGCTCCACCGTGACAGCGACAGTCGCCGTTATCAACGATCAAAAAGGCCAACTATGAAGACATCGTCTCGATTCCCAAATTATCGCCTGAACCAATAAAGAAGGGCAAAGGGATCAGACCAAAGCATTGATATCATACAAACGCCACCAAAGAATTCCTCATTCAAGAATCCAAAGTCGTCCCACCCAAGGCGAATCAGGGATACGAATCCAAACCACCAAAGAAAAACAATAACCGGAAACGAGATTGTGGAGCCCGTGTACGGCCGGACGGTGTCATCCGAGAACCAGAGCATGAGCGCCAGACGGCTGATGCCGGCGTCGGTCCACCCTTGGCCACGCAGTGCCTGCCACTCCGGGAGCGAGCGGATGCGCGCCGCCTCCAAGGACGAGGTCCTCAGCTGGAACAAAAGCCACTGGTTGACAAAGACGTTCGGCGACGGGCTCTGGACTGGCGCCGGCTCGAAGATGCTGCTCTTTTTGAGCTCATGAGACGACAGCCGCAGCGGATCGACGTGCCTGGCCGTGAGGGTCTCAAGAAACGACAGTCTGGCCCGGTACTCACGAAACAGATTCATCCGTCGTTCATCGTAAGTTCGCATAAACTCCACCGCATCGCGTTCAAGTCTTCTGTCGGAAACCAAGGGATTCTCAATCTTCTGGACTTCCACCATCGAGACCATCTGCCCGTCAAGTTCGTCCAACTGACCCCGCAGCTCTCGCAGCCTCTGTGCGGCCTCAGGATGGGAGAACGCCTTCAAACCATGCTCGCGGCTGCTTACGACGCCCACAGCCCCTTCACCCGCCACCACCGCCCCCTCATAGTCCTCCTCCGTGGAAACGCCTCCGGCAAACGACACGCGCAGCTGATCCAACAGCCCCGCAAGGTCCTCCATTGACTGGACCAACCGGTTCTCCCGCTCCGTCAACGCCCAGTCGACACGTTGGTACTCCGCCTCCAGCTCCCGAGCAGGGTGCGAGACCGCCCGCAACATCGCCAACTTCGAAGCATCATCAGCATGCCTATCATAAGCAAGCCGCGCAGCCTCAACATCAGTTATCTCCCACCAGGAAATCATGTAATCCCGCACCTTCCTCACGGCCTCATGCCGCCCGTGTCGCAGCCCAGCGTGGATCTTTCGGAGGTTGGTCCGCAGGCCCGCAATCTCGGTCTGCTGCGCCATCAACACCTCCTTGGTGGCGTGGATCTGCTCGACCTGCGCGCAGCTCAGACGGACTTCCTGCCTGCTGCCGCTGCCAGCAGCCACCGGGGTTGAGACCGTCCGTATGTCGATCGGCCCGGCGGGATCGGTGAGACTGATGGCTGCTAGCTGCGGGGTCACGTCGGGCGGGTAGCTGTCGATGTCCATTTCGGAGGTGATGGGTATGTGCGATGCGCACAGCATGACTTCCGCCTCGTCCCACGATGGGACCGGGCGTAGGACGGCGGAGGACGAGGACGGCGTTGGCGCACCACTGCGCAACGGTTGCGGGGAGTCGAGCGTGTCACGGAAGAAAGAGTTGATGGCCTCGATCTCGCTGGGCTCCATCTAGTGCTGTGTGGATGCGTTGTCAAACGAGAGGCGTCAATGGCACAGAAACCGCACTCTGGATGAGACCAGCGATAATCAGACTGTGAGTTGAGGGGCAAATTGTAAGAATTCAACAAGATAGGCATAGACAGGTTGTAAAGCAGGCTCTCTCGATGAGCAGTCTGAAAACTCCGTGGTAGGCAGGTTTGTATCCCGCAGTGACGACAGGACTGGCAGGTGCGATAGTGGCATTGACACTGACATGCATGACGGGGCCAGGCCAAGGAGACAAATGGAAAGAGGTATGCACGGACTTGCTTCGAGTAAATCATTTATTATAAACAGAGCGCCTCCCTCAGAGATACAAACGTTCAATATAGAGACAATCAATCGAATATTGAGATCCATGCAGCGACCATGCATGATGTTGAAGTATGGTCAGGGTATACATCAAACATCACCAAGGGAAGATGCGGGCCGCTGTTCGTCTTAATCCACCACTCAACATCGACTGGCAAGACAATTGCAGATATCCATAGATGAAACAAGGTACATAATCAGTGTTGAACGCTACGCAGAAATAACTGAAGGGGAATATGTAAAACATCACGCAGGGATATATAGGACGAAGACAGGAAACAATAGATGATGCATCAAGTTGAAATCATGCAAAGTAAAGCAGCAATCGCCGGGGTATATACCTCGCTCCTCTCCTCTGCTCTCATTCGTCCTCATTCCTTCCACGCTGCCCTAACAGAAGCCACAAGATAGAAACGAGTCCGAAGAAGAAATTTATACAAACGCCCCTCACGCACATCACCACATTAGAAAGACGAACATCAGGCATGAGACATAAAACATAAGCATGAGCATAGGCATAGACATGAGCAAGGAGTATCGCATCAGCTAGAGCCGAGCCAAGCATGAGCATAAACATAAGACATCGGAAAATCGTGCAGGTCGTCAAGAATCGTACAATCATGTCGCCATGATGGACGTGATCGGTCAGAGCCGTCAAACCCGCCCCTCCTCTTTTTGAACACCGAATTTAAACCAAATCAAAGCAGATAGAACCAGAAGAATAACCGCCCAATATCGATCTCAGGCATCCAAACAACATTTTTTCCTTTGTTTGTGGTGATCCCTTCAATACCATCCGAGCAGAACCAAAGGCTCATTGCCAATTGTTCAGCCCACCAAAAAAAACACAAGAACTTTTTGAAGAACCGATATGCGTTGTCAAAGACAGAGATCTAACCCATAACTTTTGTAAGATCGCAAAAGTAAAGTATCAAACGGAGATTGTAATACCAGCACGGATCACATCCTAAGACTTCATTCCAAGCCTCTTATCTAGTATCGACCGCTGTAGGTGGACCGGCTCGAGCGTCGACTGGCCCGGTCCGACTTCCGGTCACTCATGGCTCGGCGCGGGTCTTCCAATTCTCTCCGAGAGACACTTCCGGTGTAGTCAGAGCCTCCAGTGAGGTATTTCTTCGGTCGGTGCTTGCCTTCAATGTTCAGCTCCACCGCACCATTGTCCCCGGTCCGAAGCATTAGCCTCTTGCCCCCAACGGATCCTTGGCTAAAGCTCATAGTGACACCGTTCATCGTCATGACAATATTGTTGTCCTCCTCCGGTTTCAGACCGCTGTTGCTTCCAGTTTGAGTCCGGGCGTCACTGCCTCGGCTGCTGTTCGAGCGACTCTTCTGGCTGCCGCTGTCGCTTTCAGCGCGTTGAGAAGTCTTGGCCTTGTACAACGCGTCTTCTGTTAGGGGAACCGGCACCGATGGCTTGCCCGACCGGGAGGCTTGATACTCCTCCGCCTCTCGTTGCTTCTCGACAATCTCATCATCCTCGTCCTCATCATCATCATCGCCGTAGTTGTATACTGTGGGCCGGCGCCGACGAGAATTCTCGACAGCAATTCGTGCCGGTCGCGCAGACTCGTGGTATGCGTTAGAGCGACGGCTGTCGCGGTTGCTTCGGCTGCGTTCAGGGATCACGGTCTCGCGAGAAGACTGCCGATACCCGTACTCAGGCAAAGCGTCGCTCATTTCCGATAGGTCTAGGGATCGAGAGGAGCGACGGTCGGAGGTGATCATTGGGGCAGTCACGGACTTGCGAGGCGGGTCGGGCCGTTTCTGGATGATGTGCGGAGCCGCCTTGTGCTTGGTGGGTGGATGCGGCATGCGGTAGTAGTCTTCATCGCGATCATGAGAGGAATGAGCTGACATCCGAGGCCGTGTTTGTCGGCCCGGAGCAGGGGGAGGCGGAGGAGGAATGTCCACCACGTCGTCATCATCTTCATCTTCATCAAAGCTTGCGTCATCGTAGTCCATAGGAGGTGCGTAAACCGACGATCGGCGACCCCGACCTTGGTCTCGAGACCTCGAAGCCGATCGTTCTTGTCGACTTTCAGGAGGGGCTGCATAATCGGACACGCTGTAGTAGGGAGACTGTTGCGGATAATGAGAAGCGGCATACGGCGGGGCGTTGGCATACGCCGAAGAAGACAGCGGGGGACCGTGGTCGTAGCGACCCATGGAACCCGGAGGGTACATCATCTGGTTCATCCCAGGCATTGCACCATGAAAGCTTGCCGGTCGGTTGTTGGGATGATAAACGGACGAGCTTCCGCGAGCGTGAGGACGGCTACTGCGGGTGACATTGACGTCCTGGATCACAGAGGGAGGATATCGAGAGTTTTGCGGTGCCGGAGGGGGGTATTCATGACCTGGAGGAGGTGGTTGCATGAAATACGAGTAGTCCATCGGTCTCGCTTCCAGAGGTGCTGAGGCAGGATGGTATAGCCCCTGATCGCAATCATAGCACTGCCCCGGATAGTGCCTGAACTGAGCAGTATCACGCCGGCGGGACCTGGACGGGGAACGCTGAGCATGGGCATGAGGGTGCGGGTGGCCCACAGTGGGAAAACTTCCGACCTGCATTTTGTCCTCACGTGGTGGACGAGCAACTCGGTCCTTGGAAGGACGTTCTTTGTGGCCTTTGGATCGGACGCGTTCGAGGTCAGCTCGTTTGAGGGTGGTGTCTGGCTTATGAGGGACAGGACTCTTCCGGCCCGACGGCCCAGATTGGGTGCTGTTGACGGTGGCGGCGGTACGACTGGAATACCCGGAGTCACTTGCAACGTCGACCAGGGGCTCTGCAGACGATCTCACAGCCTGTTTATGGCGCTTGGTAGTGAGGTTGGCGACTTGACGGGTTTCGGGGCGGATAACATGAGTATCTTCGTCATATTCCTCACAGAAGGCGGCGTGGGGGACTTTGCTAGACATGGCTTCTGGAAGGCGGCCTAAGGCCCAACCCTAAGAGGGGAAAAGGGAAGAGGGGTCTGGCTTGATTTTGGGGGGGTGGGAAAGGCACGAAGGTGGATGACCTGAAACGTGGTGCTCCAACAGGCTTTCAGATGCTTGCTTGGTGGCCTACAGCAGCCACCAACTGCTGCTCATCCGAATATGACTCAATCAGTGCCTGGGAGATTTTTTTTTTAGCGTTTTTCCCTTTTTTCCACTCTCTGATTTTTTTTTCTTTAGGCGCGGTTAGTGATTTGTTTCTCCCTCTCCCCTCTTAGTTCGGAGTGAGGGCTGCAAATCCACTTGGCGGCAGTCGCCTCAAGAAAACAACCGGAAGATGCAGACGGGCCAGACAATAGTCCGAGAGAAGAGTGTCTAGATCGTTGACTGTCAACGATGAGTCGTTGGTGGGCACAAAGAATAGTCGTCGTCCACAGTCTGCAATGTCTCCATCGAAAAGAGGAAAGGAAGAACGGGGTTGGTTCGGGGTGGAGGGGGGGGGCAGGCGACGAAGTGGATTGTAGGAAGTGGTGGTGGAGGACTGGTGATGAAGAGACGACAAGTCGGGCGGCGGACAGTCAGTAAGAGTGAGACTAGACTGGATAGATAGCCCGTAGTGGACAAGCCCAGCGTGGGTCAACCGGAAAAGAAAGCTGCAGTGAACGGTTGGCAGCCGGTGAGTGGAGGGGAGTCAGAATAGAATGATCGATGGACCAAACAACCGACGGGGCTGCAGTCCTTCAATGCACCCAGCAGAAGCGTGTAACCGACGGCTTTGATGACTGGTCCGTCTGGCTAAGCAGTCGTGGTCGTCGGCCTTGGGACACGATATGATCGATGACAGTGACCAAGGCGATGGAAAGAAGCAGAGGGAAGAAGAGGTAAAAGAAGATGCACAGGGTCAAAGGGACTTTCCAGTAGAATTTGACTCCCTAGGTTTGGAGGTCCGAGAGGGGGGGGGGGATGACAGAAGGAGGGGAGGCGAGTAAGTCGACAAGGCGCAAAGCAAAAGCAGGAATGCGCAGGGAAAAAAAAGGTGGGGAGAGTGAGGGAAAACAAAAGACTAAGTGGAGTAAGGGAAGAACAGGTGGGAATCTTCCACACCAGACGATAAGAGATAATCGGACGGAGTAGAAGTCAGGAAAATCAAAGAGGGGGGAAAGCAGGAGACGGGAAAACAATGAGGAGGAGGAGGGGAAGCAGAGAGAAGGAGGGATTGCGATAGGAGATCCGGGATTGATTGATTGACTTGATTCACTACTACTGGTTGACTTGGTAGTAGTAGCAGGAGCAGTAGCAGTAAGAGAGGAGGGGGGAAGAAGAGAGGTATGGAAGTAAGTAAGTAAGTAGGTAAGGTACGAAGGACTGGATCGGTTGGAAAACTGTGCTGTGCGTCGCCTCGGTTTTTAATTGAATTCATTCATCAGTGTAGGGGAAGAGTCGGTTGAGTCAGTTCTTTTCCTTGCCTTTTCTTATTTACATGATTTTTACACTTAAAATTATCACATAAAAGAGAAGAAGAAAAAAAAAAAAAAAAAAAGAAAAAAGATTGAGGGAAAGCCCTGGTACCGACTGAATGTATACCTTAATGATTACACACGGTATGGACACACGGCTGAGGCCGCTGCCGCTATTTGTGTTTGCAATTTTTACTTCTTTTCTTGTTTAACTCACCTTTTATTCTATTGTGAATTGTTTCTTTCAATTGCTATCTCACCTTTGTCTTGTGGATTTATAATGAGCATACCGACAATTCCAACCCCAAGGTCAGCACGAGCAAGAGTTGAACCCGAAATCATTCATCGCAACCCGAGCGAGGACAGAATATAAATTCGATCAAGATAAAGAAACGGAAAGTGGTTCCATCTCACATCCGAACACATCAAGATCCCTGTCTAGAGGCTATTTTCTCTCCCGCGGTCTCTCCGAACTACATAGCTAGTAGTTTATACTGCGGATGTATGGTATTTACTCAAATATCCCCCATGTCCCCACGCTACCGCTACCTTTTGGCTCCCAATCAGATTTGCCTCTCATCTTCTGGATGATTGTTTCCAATCCGGATGCAAAGGTCTCGAGTCGGAGCAAATCGATGAAGAAAAACAGAGGAGGAGGTGGGGGTTCTCCCCTGAGTGGCTGCTGACCGCTGCCTGATCGGCCGCTAACATTTTTTTTATTATGCATTTGGTTATTGATGACTGATGGACTGATGGGAGATACAGCAGGAAAGAACGAGAATGGAGAAAAACCCTACTCCGGTCACCTCGATCATCCTGGTCGAGATGACTCGATCAGCATGACTCAATGAGCTATTGTATCCTTGATAACCACAATCGCAGATTCCTCAGTAACAGGTCGTCGAGCATATTGAAGATTGAGGAAAAAGCCGTCGCCTCTATCTGCGATATGTCTTCTTCTGTCTTGCATACGTCACGGGCATGGTAGGATGGAATCTAATTTCATAACGATGCGATCATGGTATATTTCGCACTGCGACTTCCGACCGACAGGGAACAAGAGGCTTGCAGCTGCAAGGTGAAATCGGAATTCCTCCATTGGCGTATCAGAATACCCATCACAGGCGAGTTGCGGCACGATGATGAAGGGTCACTAGATCGGTCACAAAGAGCTTCAGGGGTGACTTTGATAACCGGAGTATACTCCATCCATGCTTTCCATGGAACGGCTGGTAATTAACACTAGATATCCGCGATACCCCAGGCGCCTGTCCGTGCGGCTTCAGACCCTCAGTGCGTGGCATTTCATCCCGGGGCATTGCTCCGCACGGATCAGTGACATCAATGGGCTTGTTTGGGGGAGGGAGCCTCAACCATCCTGAGGATCTGATCCGATCATTCCATCCCTTGCAGACTCGAGATAACCTCATTTCTGGTTTAAAGTCATTTCAGAAATACTCATCACCGGGTGTGCAAATCGTTGTCCTAAACGGAGACCACATCACACGTGCGGATCGGCACACCATAGCGTCCGTGTATATTGGGGAAAAAGAGTATCTCTTGAGTGCAAATCAGTTCGAGATCGCTATGTATAGCAGCTCACCACCAAACGGATTGCTTGCAGCACGCGCTGATAGGCCCCTGAAAGATAGTGGCTATGCACGATACCACGAGAGTACGCGATACCGCTATGCCTCTCAAGCTGAAGTGCTGAAGTAACGGCCAGTTCTAATTGCCATGTCGCCTTGGTGTAACCTCATGATCGTGGGAATGAACAATAGTGCCTCGTGACCCGGACATGTCTCGCAAGTAACGAAGAGGTAAGATCGTCAATCGTTCCGGTGTTCTGTCTCAGTCAGTCCGGTGGGTTGGAGTTACCCAACCACTAGTGTCTTAGGTTAGGCGGACAGATGAGATTGAGATATTTCAGAATCTTCTTAAAAGTAAGGTTGAACGTGAGAACTCCGTACCAGCGATCCGTATCGTGGTGGAGGGTGTGGCTAGGGCGGTGGTGGGAGGAAGGGAGGGTGGAAATAAGAAGCGATGATGGATTGAGAGGATCCCCACCCGGCTCCATCGACGGGAGAACCCCTGGGTCTGAGCGGATTCCATCCACGGACCATCCGGAGTTTCTCCCAACATCTTCACTACTACTCTACACTGCTCTACACTACTCTTTCACCATCATTTTCATCAATCTTTACTCAATATCCTCGTGACCCCCTCTGGATGACTCCTGTCGCCCGTCACAGGTCTTCAATCTGATACAGTTTGTACCTACCTGGTCCATCCGAGAAAATCCCGTCCTGTTGGCTGCCCAAAAGTCCCGAACGATGACAAGGAACTTTCCCATTGCGGCCCAATGACGGTGGCCTCCACCCCGCGGGGCACACCTCGTTGGTGAAATTTTCTCATTCATTCCGGAGACGAAGGTCAATCTTGACAAAAGGAAAGAAAGAAAGGGGAGGCAAGAAACCTCTCAGCATCAAGGATCTAGGTTCCAAAGTGCATTATTGAGTTTATTCGAGCTCATGGACAGGCATTCTCCAGCCGACCTGATCTAGCCCAGCAAACAAGGATAGAGAAAACCGGTATATCCCACCGACTCAACAGGCAGATCTACTTCGCTCATGTCATCGTCATGACACCAAGAATCGCTTTCATCCCCTTTTCAATCCTCCATGATCAGTCCTCGCCCCCGCTTGCCGGTGTTCTCCTGATGGGCTGATAAGTTTGCTATCCTTGTGGGGAGGCCCGCTCAGCGAGCAGCATGGAAGACTGTGTCGAAGCGCGCTAGAAAACCATGGTCCCGGTACGTTAGCCATTAGTTACTTCCCGATTCTCCAAGCCGGAAGCGCCAGGCGGGATTAATTCTTTACTGTAATGTTTGCTTCGTTATTCATACTAGACTGACTTGCTGGGAGTCCGAGAAATCTCTCCGTCAGACAACAATCTGTCATCCTTCCGGGTCCACCCATCAGTTATCCAAGTCTGCCAGGAGGCTTGTACTCCGATAGATGGACACACACCGTTCCGATCGCTTCACAAAAAGCTTTCTCGGGCATTATTCCTCCATTAATCACATGACTTGAAGTCCGGTCTACCCTGGACCCTGTGACTCACACTACAGCGACTGAATGCTGGGTCGTGTCTCCATACATCTGGCAAGAATGAAGATTAAGCTGTCCACTGTGGTAACCCTTGCCTGAATCATGGATGCATCTACCGGTGTGCATTGCGCCTACAGATGGAAAAATTGACATCTGAGATGCTGGATCAGAAAAAAAGCCAGTGACTCCGGTTGAATGTCGCCCAGTGGAGGCTGATTGACGAAACTCTATCGCTCTCTCTGCGTCATTTATGCGCGCTGCCAAACTGTCAATGACAATGATATCTAAGGGAACACAGTGCATCAGCGGGGCGTTCCGTCTGCATCTGGTGTTCGGATCAGTCAACTTATGCCCCTGTAGTCCGGCTGTGCATGATTATTCATCGTTGAATCTCGTGGGTGAGATTACCTCCCTACATGTCATTTCGGCGCTTGCAAGCTTGCCGCCCCAAGCATCTATTGATGCCCAATGCTCGTGATTACCTTCCTGCCTAGTACTGGCCGCCGGGATCAAAGGCAGCAGCTTCTGCTTACTGTTTTGGCCATCAATTAGCTGCTCGAAACCATCCTTGTTCGTGTTGGTGATACACCGTAGGAATAATGCCCAGGATCCCTTGTTCTCAGCCACCCCCACCACATACGCCCAATTCTGCCGAGGAAGACAGACTGAGCATCAGGTACAAGTTTCAAAAGATAGGCAACCTGGTGAATTGCTGGTCTAATGAAGGTTGACGGCCCAATGCCCTAATGCCTGCTCTGATTTCCTTATGTAGTTGTAGTGAGTTATAGATGTATGTGCACGATATCGCAGTGGAGCCTCAGGCAGGGATAAGCGCGGATAAGATAACAAGGGAAGGCTGCTGAGTCATGCCAGTTGCCGGGGCCACGGAGATCGTCCAAACAAAAGAGCGTCATCCCCAGCCTCTCCCCAACCACCTCAATTTCCGCCTGGGCATCGTCGCTTGTTCTGCCGCTGGCGTTGCCTTGGTTTGGTTTCTGCTCTGCCTTCTTCCTACACGTTACTGTGAGCAAGCCGGTGCTAACACGCTCGGTAGTGCATACCAAACTAGCATTTGTGCTCACATCCATCCACATTGCACATTGCATTCCAACCATCGGTCTACGTACAGTACTATCTACTATATAGATTCTGGTACCCGAGCATACCAAGTGGATCGGGTGATTGAGATCGAGCCCATCAGGACACTCAAAGTGTCACATTCAGTGGGTAAGACATCCCGCATTCCAGCTCAAGTCAACCTGACATCCATCCCTATCCATCAAAGATCAATCACTCAATCTATCAATCATATACCCTTTCATCATCATCATCTATCTACCGGTCTATCTATCTAGAGGAATATCCACCTAACTCAGCCGCAGAGTGCCCGTCTCGAGCACCACGCTCTTGACATCCACTACCACTTTGCCCCAATATGCCTCCTGTCCAAACCGCCGGCGACTTCCCCGGCATCTCTATCCTCGAAACCCTCACCACAACCACAACCACCAACCCCACCAAACTCGCCCCTTCAGCGGACTCCAACCCCGGTCTCCAAGACAACAACAGCAACAATGCCCCCCACCGCCACCTCCTCCACGCCCGCGACTCCACCCAATACATCCCGGGCAGCGGCACCGTGGAGCCGCACAACATCAACATGAAGGGACTGATGGCGCTCTTCGCGATCATCGGGGCGGCCTTCGTGCTGGCGGCGATCTGGTTCTTCTTCTGGGCCAAGAACGGCGGGTTCGTGTGGCGCAAGGGCGACTGGGAGGAGTACAAGTCGACGGTGCTGCGGCGCAAGGGGCCGGACGGTCGCACGCTCAGCAACGCGACCAAGAGCACCAAGCTCGGCGGCGGCAGCATCGTGCACAAGGGCTACAGCGACGACGGGTACACGTACACGGAGACCGCGACCACCATCACCGAGAAGACGGGCGCCCCCGGCGGCGGCAGCGCCGAGCGCAAGCGGCGCCGCAAGCTGCGCGAGAAGTTCCGGCGCCGCCGCAAGGACGACGAGATGACCGCCAACTGGGAGAACGAGGTCGACGAGGACGTCGCCGCTTACCGCAAGGAGAAGCCCGCGCGCGTCGGCGGCATGAACCGCGAGGGCGACGGCACCACCTACTACGACGGCAGTGACTACGACCTGTCCAACCCGCCGAGCTACTGGCAGGACCGCGAGCAGAGCGAGGTCAGCCAGGTGCGGGATTATGCGTACGATCCCGTCGTGGAGCGGCGGCAGAGCAAGCGCCGCGATTTCTCGTTTGTGGCCGGCAGTGAGGAGTTGCTGAGCCAGGCGGACGATCATCACCACCACCGTGCGATCCGGGAGCCGTCGACCAGAAGACATAATCGCCGCCGCGAGCGCAGGAGACACGCCCCGGCCGACGGTGCGGGTGCTGGCAGTACCAGTAGCCCGTCCCGCTCATCCCGGCAGAGTAGTCCCCGCAAGCGTCCGTCCGTGACGGGCCACTACACCGAGCCGCTGGATTTCTCCTCCGCGGCCTCGCGCTCCGAGTATCAGTACTCCAACGTCGACACTGAGGACTCGGGCACTAAGAGCTACCACCATCCGATCCCCGGATTGAGTAAAGGCTACCGCCGGGAAGGGGGTCGGGGCCGTCGGCGCGATAGTCTGAGCGAGAGTGATGGCGAGGAGACTCGGTACTCGAGACGTTAACGCACTCCCTCCATCTGTATCTCGCCTCCCTCGCGGAGAAACATCTTCATCAACGATGACGCCGATCGAGGAGGGATAGGGGGAACCTGCTTGTAAATAAACGGCCTTGGTCTAGGTCATGCATTCTGTCTTTGCGTGTTACTTCTTCGGACTTTGCCTCTCTTTTTTTATTTTTCTATGCTTTGAAACCGAGCTGCGAAATGTTGACACGGGATTATGATTGACGGGACATGGGATGAATGGGATGCAATACAATACAATTCTATGCAGAACTAAACATGATACGATTGAATACATTATGAAAGGGTTTTCTGCGCCCGAAGCAGGAGTTCTACTATGGATCTGGATCTGAATATGGATATAGGAATGGCAATGGATTTTCTTAATATTTCTTTACGCGTGTAGAGTAATTCGACTCTAAACATTGCCTGTCCTCTTTTCTTTTGCTCTATCCGGCTCAGTGGATCATCCCAATTCGCCGAATTGTCGTATGTCATACATTCCAGCAAGGAGTGCGTTGGACATTGATCCAGGACAAGCGAAACCACAACCACAACCACAACCACAATCACCACCACCACAGTCACCCAGCATATCCACACTGTAATCTTCAAGAACATCCTTCCAAAGATCTAAGTGAGCAGAGCCTCATGTAAAGATCTGATGAATCATGCAACCGAACTCAAACCCTTGCAAAATCCGAAGATCAGATTCCATGCTATTTGATGTACAGTACAGCCCAGCTCCCTTCTTCCAGGATCATCCAGAGAATTCACAGAACGCCGGCATATAGTCTCAACCACAACCCCGATAGCACAAACAATAGCAACAAATCAAATCACATGAAACACTTTGGAAAGTCCCGGTCCAACCGAACCGTCCCAATAATCTCACAAAGCACCGGCACGATCCTCCCCACGAACAAGGCAAAGGATTTACAATCACACGCACAGGAAACGCCGAAGATCACGAAGTATATATTGTATGCGCACACACATCCCCACACAAGCCTACCGTCTCAGAAACACGAGAGCCAGGTACCCGAACAACCGATACACGGCGATAATCCCCAGCAGGATCCCCACCCATTTGCCGGTGCGGCCGGTCGCGTAGCCGTATTCGTGCAGCACGCCCGTGCCGCGGATCTGGCACTGCGCGGCCAGGTCGGTCTGGTACATGCAGGTGCAGTCGGCGGCGCAGGCAAAGATGCGGTCGGAGAATTGGTTGACCATCATGCCTTGGAAGACGTAGGCCTTGATTTGAGGGTGTTAGCGGACGTGTGTGGTGGGTGTTTGTGGTTAGGGATGGCGGGACTGTGGAATGTGGTCTGATTGAACGCAACAAGAATCAAAGTGGACTAACCTGATAATCGATGTAATGGAACACATATTTCCAGAAAGGATTCAGGATGGTGTTGGTCACCAGGAAACCACCCACCGCCATCCAGAGCCCGTTGGCGAAGGCGACTAGGGCTAAAGCGATGACAAAGTTGGGGAAGACGGAAGAGACGAAAACAACCAGAGACTCGGCAGCCACGAGGTCGAGGAAGATCCACATGATCCAGGTGAAGAAAGCCGTAGCGGTTGGGGTGAGGTTGTTGAGCCAGTAGGCGATCACGGAGTAGAGGAGGGAGATGAGGACTAGGGAGTCTCGGTTAGCATTCAAGCAGGCGATGACAACCCGGGGACCATGCCGTTGCGGACGAGGGCACGTACACAGAAATGGGAGACCAATAATGAAGTTGGACACGAGGAATGGAAAAGAGCCATAGAGACCATTTGCACGCTCCTTAGTGAAAGTCGCTAGGTCTTCCAGAAAGGCAGGAACGTAGGCGACGGCCATGAAACTCATGAAGGCGGAACCAAAGAACTAGAGCTCATCAGTATAAGCTCTAAGTTGGCTAAGTCCAGGCAGATCGAGTTGTGGACTTACTATCGAGTTGATGAATGGCTGGATATAGGCTTGTTCAGTGTGCAAACGCAGCCAAACAGTGCCCACCATGATAGACAGTCCTGGGCAAGGTCAGTGATTATAAGCGCTGGCTCTTTCTCGCACTCCAACATACCCATGTACATAACAATACGGATTCCATATGCCACAATGTCACGGTAGCTCTTGATGAAGGCGCGGTGCAAGAGGGACATGATAACACTGAACACCCCTGGATGACCGAGCTCCGCAATGTCCGTCTTGCTGAAACCCTTTTCCGGGCCTCCCAGGTCCTGCGATAGCTGCTCACTCAATGCGTTACGCTCCGCAGAGTGTTGCCAAGCCGCGCAGATCTCATCCACTTGATCCGCCGGGGCATCGAGCGTATCACTGCCGAAATCGGCGCTGATCAGGTCGAGAATGAACTCCGCTGGGTTTGTGTTCGGGGGGACAGGATGACCAAGTGTGTTGAAATAATGTGGCACATCAGTGACAGGCCCGAAATAGCAGGTCTGTCCGCCTGACAGCAAAAGCAGCTTATCAAAGAGCTGGAAAGTGGTTGATGATGGTTGGTGAATGCTGGCGATGATGATCAGCTAGCAGGGGTTAGCATATTGTTTCATTCCTCCCGATTGGACTCATACATTATTTGCTACGGCTAGCCTCTTAATGTAGGAAATGACTTCAAAGCTGGCAGTTGAGTCAAGGCCACTGGTAGGCTCGTCCAGGAACAAGATCTTCGGACAAGTGATCAGTTGACTAGCGACACTGACTCGCCGTTTTTGCCCACCGCTGATGCCCTTGCGAATCGGAGTGCCAACCAACGTTGAAGCCTGATTCTGAATACCGAAGGCCTTCAACAGAGTGCGAATGCGCTCTGCCCGTTGCGATTTGGGAACGGAACTGAACGTGTTAGCAGTTCGATCGGAAATGGCCAGAGATAAATTAGAAATGTACCTTGGAAGAGAGAGATCGGCAGCAAACTTCAATGTCTCCTGGACAGTCAATGAGCCGATCAAGGCATCTTCTTGCTCCACATAGGACGTGAGTCGTCCAAAAGTGGTGTTATCCATCGCCGACCCATTAACGTAGCACTCTCCCGTATTTGTTGCGCCCGAGGAGGCTACACGACGAGCAAGGACGTTAAGGAGGGTCGTCTTGCCACATCCTGACGGTCCCATCAGTGCGACCAGCTCTCCTGCTCCCAGTGTATGAGTTGACCTTCTTCAGCAAGCACAAGGCGATATGAAAACCTACCTTGCTGAACTGAGCCACTGATGCCATCAATGAGCTGTCGAGGGAGTTTGGTTCGACGGTCCTTGACCGTGACTCGTAGATCACTCCAGGCGAAACTTTGGACAGTGTTGTTCATCAAGAATTGATGCGCGTCATTCCGCTCGAGATCGAAGTCCTCTTTCTTGGTCGGTAATTCGGCCTCCATATTCAGCTGTGGGGGCTACACCAGGTCGTCGAAAGCAGGTATGAGGCCTTGCTGTACGCCAACTAAGACGGGGGAGAATCAAACTATAACCTCAAACTTGTGTAATATCCAGAAAACAGCAACAGGGATTAGGCTGGTTCTAAATAGCAGAAAAGAGTCGTTATACGGTCCCAGCTCAGCACAGGGTTTCGTATTACTTAAGACGAGGCCGAGCCCACTATACGATCTCTAAAGGAATGAGATCGCCGAACATGCTCGGCGTCATGGGTCATCCTGCCTCGCAGCCATAGAGGGAGGGGAACCCTGCACGTCACGGTCAGTCAGTCAGTCAGTCAGTCAGCATTCCAATGCAGCAGCCGCCGCTTCAGGGACAAATCCAGCGAACCATGGATCTGAAGCCCGAGAGAGTTGATGCCCGCTGATCGGGTGTCGCCGTCCGTGGGGTCGGATAAGGTTCCCAGTCCCCGAAATGCCCGAAAGTCTTTTGTTATATGGTAAGAACAATCCCATTGATTTGCCATTCTATTGTTCTCTCGGGGAGCGGAGCGTGGTTGTCTGGTCGAACACGAGGCGTGGAATTTCGAAGGGGGAAAACAGCACAAGGAAAAACAAAGAAAGGGAGCTATTTCCCCCTAGTCCGCTGGCTCCGTACAATAGTCTGTGATTCCGCACTCATGATTGGCTTGGTCGCCCCTCAAGTAGCTCTGGGCGAATGGCACATTTTGGACCAGCTGAGCTGGGCTGAAAATGCTGGCAACAGTCGATTGTGATTGAATCCTGTTGAGCAGCATCCTCCCTCGCCTTGTGCTTTCACAGTCAGTCGGTCGGTCAGTTAGCCAGTTAGCCCCGTTGCGCGGACACCCAACCACAGCCCTTGGCTGGACTCTCGCCATCGTATCCCACTTGCTGCTGGCTGGACGCCACTTATAAGCGATGACCGGGGCCAGGGTAAAGTCAGCAAGCCCCCTCAGGTTAACGCGGCCAAATGCTCGTCGTTGGTCTGCAGCCCTTTCAGCCGACGGTTTATCGTCGCTGCAGCCGCGCCCGAACAAACCGTTTTCGATCAGCCATCACACACCTTGTACGACGTGAAACCCCCTCGCACGATCACACTTGCTTGACAACTAGTCCAGCTATCAGCCCTGTCGAGACTTTTACCGCTTCGCTTCCATTTTCTCCAGCGAAAGGGCGGATAATGAGGCGGTTTTTGTGCTGCGCCCGATGTGAGGGTTGACATTCCGTCTCACGCTGTGTATCGCCTGCGATGCGGTGGGGAAGTGTGTCTGTCTCACTCGGATTGAGAAGAGCCGCTGAACTCTAGGCAGCTTGTCAAGCTGGAGAGATATCTCTCGGCCGAAGTGTGCTGCGCTGTGCTGCTGCGCCATCGTGGCTGGTTCATGCGCCTGCCGTCACCCGTTAGAATGACAGCTACCCCAGAGAAAACGCCGGCGAATCATTCGCTAAGATCAGAAAAATGCCGCTATTGGCTCACTCTCTGCAGGACTGTGGAATGAAACGAGGATGATTATGATGATGCTGCTGCTGCTGTATTTATCCTTGTCTTGGGTGCTGTCAATAACTGGCGATGCTGACGGCAGCCACATGCAGTTGGCATGGAGAGGGGGAGAAGAAGGAAAGCCCAAAGGACGACCTCGGACTGACCGCCCTCAACAACAATCAGCAATCGTCTCTAAAAGAGAATTCAATTCATAGTAAGTGTTCATCATTGCCAGTGAAGTAGACGAGGCGATATGGCATCTTGGATATTCTCAAGCATTGGAAGTAAGTTAGACATTCACATGACATATATATACAATGATGTTTATATAAGGACGTGCTGAGGTGTCAAAAGTACTCAAGTCAATTCTACATATATATATGCGTGGACTAATCCAAACTTTATCCATGTCTGTAGCTCTTCTGGGCTCTCATCTCTGCCTGCGCATACTTTCATAAACCGGAGTTCCTCAGCATG